CTGTGAAAGTTACATTTATTAGCAAATGTGTGGGTTGTAAATCCCAAATGCCCTTTGGAGGCTAACAAATTTGATTAAACAGTATATTGCATGAGTTCTTCACATAATTGAAAATGAGACCTTGGCTAAGGAGCAACAGTACTGTAAACTCTAAGTCACGGCAAATTATGTAAGAAGCAGCAGTACCTGTGATGCCATGTAAGCTGATGAAATCTGGCTGCTTAGCAGTTTGATCAAGGACTATGTGATATAAGCAAATCACTTGCATATGTGTTTTGATTTAATACTGATTTCTTTTTGTTTGATGCTGGTTGATTTTAAACACCAAGTATGCATAATTATTTCAGAAAGTCTTAGTCTTTCAAGAAATTGAAACTAACTTGAACTTGAAAAAAGTTTAATAGTAAGTATGTGAGAGTCACAGAAAAACCATTTACCAACTGAAGATTTCAGGGGCCTTTTCTAGGAACAATCATGGTTCTCTTCCTCAGTGTCTGTTGAAAACCATGTTTAAGCCTATTCTAAACTCAAATTTATCTCTATCTCAAACACAGCTGACACAAACTAAGCACAACAAAACATTTTATTAGACAACAAAGTGAATAATGTCATCATTTGTGGATAGATAAAATGTAGGAGAATAGACATAGTGGTGAAAGTAATCTAGCCCCTAAGGAGTTACAGCTGGGCCAATTATCAAGCATTAAGAACAACCCTGCCCTTAACAGGCCACAGCTGGATCCAATTAAGAGGGGTATTATAAAAGAGCAGGTTGGCTGGTTGAGAGGAGAGATGGAGTTTATTGGCTGTGCTGAGAAGAAGGAGTTAGTGCTGTGAGGAGCTGCCCCTGAGAAATCTCCAAGGTATGAAACCTTTGCAACAAGATGGCAACAATTGGTGACCCTGATGTGATCAAGGACCCAGGATGGTGCTGGGCTCCCCCTGAATGGCAGCGTGTGCAGCAGGACACAAGCTGTGTGATAGAAGTGGCAACTGGCATGGCCACAGCAGCAACCGGTGCCTCAGCAATAGCATGGCCCCTGAGGAGCATGGGGGGTAGTTTGCTAAGTCACTGCTACATGAACACTGGAACAACAGCAACATGGAGCTCTGAGAGGCAGAGTCAGGGCTATGCAGACAACATGTAAGAGAAGCCTTCAAAAACTGTGTAGTGGCCATCTCCACAGTAATCTGACATGATTGGGAGTGGGCTGTAGGGCAAGGTGCAGCCAGAGATGGAGCCCAGCGTAGCAATGAGAGCAGCAGGGGAAGCTGCCTGATCTGGACCTGACAGATTTCAACACCTGAGGTACAGGTGAGCTGCTGGGGACACAATGAGAAATAACATATCGAATGCAGGACAGATTGTTTGATATACATGGAAAGAAATTTAAAAAAAAACAAAAAACTGTGAAATATAGTGTCATAAAGGGGGTAAGGCAGCTGCAGATTTGGTTGCCACCTGGAAATCACTTTAAAAGAATGGAAAACAGAGCAAGACAAGAGAGGCTTGCGATGATCAACTAATACAACAAAATCTGTAGAAGGAAGAAGAGAATTATTAAAACAGCAGTGGGGATTGGGGAAAGAGTAACTCTATTCTTTAGTATGGTCTATTTGTTTGCTAATGAAACATGTGCATTTTGTTTGTGAATTGCAACTATGGATCTTTGATTAAGCATAAGTTTAAAAGTTTGTATTCCATAAGCATAAGTACACTTGACAGATGCTGGATCAATGTTGTTCAAAGTTCTATAGCTGTTGATTTGTTGCTGCCTTAATATATAGCCTTTAACTTATTCTTTTGAGTTACCTTATAGAAGTTGAACAGCGGTGGATATTGTCAATATTCTAGAGACATACTTTCACTGCGACATAGAAGTCTAAGTAATGTTGTAATTAAAAGAAAAAGGGGGAATTGTGGATAGATAAAATGTAGGCGAATAGAGATAGGGGCTAGATTACTTTCACCACTAAGGAGTTACAGCTGGGCCAATTATCAAGCATTAAGAACAAGCCTGCCCTTAACAGGCCACAGCTGGATCCAGTTAAGAGGGGTATTGTAAAAGAACAAGTTGGCTGGTCGAGATGTGATATGGAGTTTGTTGGCTGTGCTGAGAAGAAGGAGTCAGTGCTGTGAGGAGCTGCCCCTGAGAAATCTCCAAGAAGGTATGAAACCTTTGCAACAAGATGGCAGCAATCATTAACCTTCTGCCTACTCTTTTATTTGTATAGTTGTTCACTGCTGGAAGAATGAAAGCTCACATACCTCTCTATCAAGATGTGTTTCTCACATATTTTCTGTACTCAAGCACAGATCTGGGCAGGGCAGATATTTGCCCTGCAGACTTGGAATAATTGATGTGTTAAGTTCATTGCACAGATGCACCAAACCCAAACATAGGTCTAACCCTACAAAGCATTTTAGCTCAAATTATTTCATTGCCATTACTGGAATCACTGACGGACTGTTCATTGAAGAGGAATGCACAGTCTTAATGCAGTTGTATTCTGAACATTCAGCACTTTTCAGAATGAGTAAGATTGGAAATTAAGATTAGCTCTGCCATCATTGCTGCCATGAATAAAACTTTCTACTTGAAACTTTCGCATTGTTCTGCCTGATTTAGCCCAGGGCTATCCCAAATATTGTCTGCCTGGGTAGGCAGTCCAGGACTATGCTCTCAGGACCTGACATTTTGTGGCTATCCCAGAGTAGGTGGCCCAGGACTGCACTCTTGGGACCCAACAGCACTGCTCAACAATAGCAAAAACACCTCGACACTATCATCACTATGTTCAGAACAAATCCAAAACACAGCCCCATACCAGTCACTGTGAACAAAATTAACTCTACCACAGCCCAAACCAGCACAATAACACAATGATGTTTTGGCTGTTGCTGAGCAGTGCTTATCAGAAGTCAGGGAGTTTTCAATGTCTCATATCTTAACCAAGGGGGGAGATACAGAAAAAGCTGGGAGGAGACAGCTAGGACAGCTTACCCAAACTGGCCAAAAGGATATTCCACATCATAGAAACTGAGTCAAGTTAGACGGGATGGGCATCAAATAGTGGGAGCTGAGCAACTGTATTGTGGATCACTTGTTTCTTATGGATTTAATTTTTCCTTTTTTAGAAATTACATTTCTTACCTTTTTTGTTTGTATCAATTATTAAACTGTTCTTATCTGAACGCACAAGTCAGGGTATTTTTGTTACTTTTTCTAATTCTCTTCCCCATCCCACTGCGTTGCGGGGGGTGGTGGTGGTGTGTATGCAGTGGGTAGTGATCACTCTGAGGTGTGGTACCTCAGTTTGGGTCTGGGGTTAAGCCACAGCATTCAGGACTTGAAATAAGTTCTCAGTACATTGCAGTCCTACAGTCAGCAGACATTTCTCCCTTTCTTATGGTTTATAATTTCCAAGTAGTCTAATAAAAAAGAAGGAAGACAAAGGTCTTGTTTTGCATTTTTCTTGACTAAAATGAGCCAAACCTAACAAATCCAATTGCGACCAACCTGACCCCACAATAAGAGAGTTCATTTCCATGATAACTGTATATTGGTAGCCCAGAATGCGTGAGCCAGTGAATTTGTGTGGTTCTGAATATGCTAGTAAGCCTCTTCTGAATCACAGTATCACAGAAGATTCTAAGTTGGAAGGGACCCACAAGGATGGATCATCAAGTACAACTTTTAAGTGAATGGCCCATAAAAGGATTGAACCCATAACCTTGGTGGGGATAGCACCATTCTCTGACCAACTGAGCCAATGCCCTACAGTAACTCTTTTACTGTATTGAAAAGAAAATTTCTCATTCATCACTTAGAGGAAGCCAAAAGAAATCCCTTCTACATTCTGAATGGAAAGCTAGCTGTTAATCCACCATGTGCATGGGATATGGTGTGTCAGTCTGGACTGGGAGCAGATAAAACTGCCCCACTGGACTCAGCAACTATCCAATGACTCCAGAAGGCTCCAGAGGCAGCGCACCAGGGGCACCCCCACAGCTGCAGCTTGGCTCTTACAGCAAAGCTGCTGAAGTCATGGTCTGCAGGATGTGTTCTAACTACCCTGTGCCCTTCAAAGCCTCAGAGTCGCCATTACTGAGACATGCAAGCCTCCCAGGCAGCTTTTCTAAGCTGTACCACTTCTTCTATAAATACAGCAGTTGCAAAGCAGGTGTACTAAACCAGATTCTTAGCAGCATATTGTTATCAGCCCAAGTCTTTACTGAGACTTTTCCTTCCTGGTAGACAAAATTCCCCAGGTGGTTTAATAGGGGAATTAGCTGTATTGGCAAAGGGGAATTTCAGACTGCCATTTTATACTTCAGCTGTACAAAGACTGTGAGCTAAATTATCCAGCTACAATGAATCATGTTGAAGGAAAGGTGTACCTATAGCAGACTAATCCAAATACCAGTGCTTATGCAACGCTTAAGTCACACTTAAGCCCTATTTGGAAATCTCCCTGTGGTACATAAATCTTGTAATGAAACAAGAATTCAGGAACAGGAATGAAACATTTCATGTAGACAGGAAAAGAAACAACTGCTATTAGATGATACTGAGAAAACTACATATAAGCATAGAGAACACTGAACAGGAAAAGCAACAGAATAGGAAATTCCAAAATTAAAAAAAACCCTCAAACCTAAACCCAAAAAGGAAGGATAAAAATTAAATTTAAAATAGAAATGGATCAAAACTAAAAACATACATGTTGATATTTTCAACAACACCCTGAGCCATAATGATTAAAGAAACAGTATGAACAAAGATTGATACAAACAGCTGACAGTTGCTTTAGTGACAGACTAGCTATTTCTTTTGCATCTTTCTTGGCTAGTAAGGAATGAACAGTTCCTTTTGTACCCATATGACTCCATGACCCAGCAGCATCCCCTTATCTTCAAAAGCAATGAAACCAAATTTTAGTCCATTCAGCTATCCAAGTCACCAACTGAAGCTGAGTAGTAATCACATGTTTTTTTTATTGATACCATTCTGAAATATTTGACATAGAATTAAGGTTTCCTGGTCTTAGCTGGGGAGTAACCTGTAAAAACAAAACTATTTTGTGGCTGAGCATGTGTCCAGTTGAAAAGTTGAGATTAAATACTTTCTCCTGAAGAGCACAGAGATGACTCATGTTTATCCCATGTTGCCATCTTGTAAATAAAAACTTGCCTTTCTTCTAAGATGGCTGGAAAGAAAAAAAATATATCCAGTTAAAAATACATTTTGCTCTCAATTTTTCCATTAAATGGTCAGACTGACTATAGAGACACTCTCAAAATGGTTACTAGTAGTTATTTCCTAATACTCATAGAAATTTAGGTTTTGCAACCTCAATCTACTTAGCTGCAGTTTCAGCAAAAGAGTATTTTTACATCTTTTTTAAATTACTGTTATTATTATTTTGGCTTTTTTCTAGAGTTCAGGTCTGAAAAAACAGAACACTGCTCATACACTGAGAATCAACTAATGAAAGTGTCTGCACATCAGTCACTGCAGTACAAGAGAATATTGTCAGTAGAAAATATTTGATAAAGCTGTGAAGATTCATTCTGGAAAATAAAGATTTTAATATATGTACCATTCATAGTGATGAAGGAAAAGAAAATATTTCAAAGGGCTGAATCGCCTCCCTACAAAGTGTTACTATATCCTTGTCCAGTTGCAATAAATATTTTTACTGCTTATCATAGTGAAATGTATTCCTCTTTGAATTAGGTTTTGTTTGCCATTTGTTTTTCAGAAATTCACATGCAAAAAGGAGTTTCTAAAGATAGGAAAAATTGTTTTGGCAAGGTGTTCCATTAGCCAAATACCCTAGGGTAAACTGTACCATGGCATCATGTCCCAATTATATGGTATCTGAACTACCCAGTGGCATCACTGTAACAGGACAATATTAATAATTATTCCAAACTTACCAAATATTTTGCTTTCTGTACTACGTTTTTATACAGGCCATCTGCCATGTTTGTATTCCTGTGTCAGTGCCAACTAAGCCACACTTATCAGAAAGTAACTTTCTGAGTGTGCCATGGGTGTTAGGGAAACTTCCAGTCTGGCCATCCACAGAACTCCGAGTCCCACAGCCCAAAGGTGTCACAGGGCCAAAGGCTCCGCTGAGGTGAGGCCTGACGCATCTCCCCGCACTGCCACTCTCACACGGTCACACCAGGCTTCCTCACCGGCTCGAGCCCGGCCTCCCACAGCAGAGTCTCAGATACCTCGTTCCATAAAGCAGTTTATTCCTGTGCAGTGACACAGACACAGCTCGAGCTGGTGCCTCTGAGGAGAGCACCTACACAAAGAACCTCTGGGCTTCTGCAGCCTCACAGGGGCCCCCTGAGCCAGTCTCGCTCTTCCGCCCGAGCCTTGGGCTCTTGTCCCACTCTCCATGCTCAAGGACTTCGCTGGAGTCACCGGTCTTCATCTCCTTTGTTACCCAAAGAGGCAATCCAGGCTCCTGCTGTGTCTCCCAGAGTCTGTTCACCTGACCAGCATCTCCCATCTTCGCGCCCTTGGACATCCCGAAGGCTGGCAGCTCACGGCCTCTTGTCTCAGGCTCCCACCCAAAGCTTAACCTAGATTTCAATCGGCAGCTTGCGATCCCAGCTACCTGGACCGGACGTATTCCTCAGCATCTGGTCAGGCACGTAAGCAGATGATGTCTGAAGCTCTTCTCCATCCCCTTTCCTCTTGCATTAATCCCTACTGTCTGTTCTTGTCTCCCATTCACCCAAGCCCGTTAGCGGCACCCACGCAGCCCCGAGTGCCCGGGGACACTAATTCCATCCAGCACCGCTCCGTCCCTGACTCCCCGCCTCCCGCGGCCGCGCCTGCGCCAGCCCGCCCGCGCCTGCGCGGAGCTGGCCGTGAGCGGAGCTATCCTAGATTTCAATCGGCAGCTTGCAATCCCAGCTACCTGGACCAGACGTATTCCTCAGCATCTGGTCAGGCACGTAAGCAGATGATGTCTGAAGCTCTGCTCCATCCCCTTTCCTCTTGCATTAATCCTTGCTGTCTGTTCTTTTCACCCAAGCCCGTTAGCGGCACCCACGCAGCCCCGACCGCCCGGGGACACTAATTCCATCCAGCACCGCTCCGTCCCTGACTCCCCGCCTCCCGCGGCCGCGCCTGCGCCAGCCCGCCCGCGCCTGCGCGGAGCTGGCCGTGAGCGGAGCTGGCCGTGCGCGGGGCGGTGGGACGGGGCTGCCGGGGCAGCGGGCGCGGGCTGTGCCCTGGGGCTGCTGCCGCCCCGAGGTTCGCTCCGCTGGAGCCGCATCGAGTCGAGCTCGCTGCCGGGGCTCCCCTCCCCTGTCCCTGCTTGAGGCACAATACAGCCCGCCGGTGCTTCCCGCCGTCACTCTCCTTAGACGGGACTGTGCCGGCGTTCCTGCTGCGGGATGAAGAGGATCTTCGGGTTCGGGAGGAAGAGGAAGGAACAGCCGCCGCCCGGCAGCGGCTCCCTTCCCTGCTCCGCCGGTGCCTACGAGCTTCGGCAGAAGGACCTGGGCAAGCTACACCGCGCGGCCGCCAGCGGCGACCTGGCCCAGGTGCGGCAGGGACTGAGGAAATACAGCATCGACGGGCGGGACAAGGCGGAGCGGTAAGGGCGGGAGCCGCGGGGCGGTCTCGGCAGCCCCGGGTGCAGCTGTGGGAGCCCCGGGAGCTCCCCGGCAGGAGCCGACCGGCAGCGCCGCTGTGAGGAGTGGGAGTGCAGCCCTTGGCTTGGGCTGCCAAACACCCCTTGGACCCGGCCAGCCGTCGCCTTACTGTTTTTGACCCGGCCTTCTCAGTGCCCTCATTCCCGGACTCCTGTGTCTTTGCCCAGGAGGGCAGGGGGGGAGGCGAGCTCTTAGCCTGGCAGAGGAGACTTGCAAGAGAAGCCTTATGGCCATTCTCTAGCCAGGGTGTGAGGTCTGAGTGTAATCGCCCCATCTCTATGCACCTCTGAGGGCTCAGCGTGCAGGTTCAGGAGTTGAGCCCAAAGGATGCACTGCCTCAGCTGGGAGCAACGTAAAGAAAGTTGGACACTGCAGTTAGGAAGGATTTATAATGCAAAATAAACGTGTTGTTTATTGATGCTGCACGCATAGTTGCCTTTTCTGAGTGTGATGTGGCAGCCTAAGCCACAGTGTGGTTTTAGGTGGCAGATAGTTTTTCCTCTGAGGCTTTGGTGCAGCTGATCAGCACCTTGGACTGGAATATCTGGTCTGTAACTTGCAGGAGAAGCTGTTGCTTTCTAGCAGGTGTTGTGTGGGGGTTTGAGTCAAGCGCAGCAAGCACTTAACAGTCCTACCTTAAGGAGAAGCCCTGGGCTGCAGCATAGTTCCTAGTGATCTATCATAAACAAAAGGGAATCACCTTTTCTGGAAAGGCTCGGAGTCAAACCCTTTGTGATATTCCAAAGAGGGGCTGGTTTTAGCAGAATAGTTCAGCTTCCTAGGCTGAACTTCTGGCAGCAATAAAGTTCATTTAGTTTTATTGCCCTAAAAACACCTACTAGATTTGTAGGAGGAAACACATGCAAGAACTTCCTCGGTGCTTGTGTCTTTGTGTGCAAGTAGACTGGTTAATTGACATGACACCTAAGGACTGCTTTTCCTTCTGGCAAGGCTTTAAATTGAAGAAGAAAGTTCAGTTTTCCTGTGCTGGTTATGTATTGTGGAGAGGACTTAATCTGTAGTAGTCTTTTTATGACTATGATAGTTAAACATTACAGGAAAGTCAAAAGCTACTTTCCTGTAGTCAGGATCAGTGTTCTGCTCTTTGTTTTGCTGTATGTTGTTAGAGGCTCTTGGATGCAAATGTGGTCTTGGTTTTGCTTCAGTAGTAAAAAAGCTAGAGGAAAAGGAAAAATTCTCAAAGTGAGGGGAAGCTCTAATATTCTTGGAATCAACCTATCTCTGACATTTTCAATACACTTCTGGCCCATGAATGATCAAAGAGAAACTTAGAAGTTGATTTGTCATAGTCCTCAGATTCCCTGGCTTTGTCTCTGTTGCTGTGCCATATGTGTAGTCCCACACTGCAGAGGACAATACCCAATGCCTGGGCACAGGAATTTCTGCAGATTCTGTTCTGTTAGGAAATGTTCCCTTACTAAGCAGAAGCTGTGGAGGGTTTTTGCTAGCAAGTCCCACGCATTTGGTGTGCAGCTCCTGTGCAGCTAATGGAATGGGTTCTTAAGTTTGAGATTTGCAAAGTGAAACTTGTGGTCATATCTGTTTATAAAAAAAACCCCTGAAATTATCCCTGTCTGTGCTAATTCAATTTACTTAATTTTTAGGACAGCTCTGCATCTTGCTTGTGCAAACGGCCATGTGGATGTAGTTACATTTCTAGTAGAAAACAAGTGTAAGCTAAATCTTTTTGACAATGATAACAGATCACCACTGATGAAGGTACGTGGACTATGGTATGTTCTTGCAAGTGAGACTTACTGATTTCTAACTAAATGATGTATTTTTCAGGATTCTTTATGTAGACCTTTGTAAAATCATGCATATTGTGATTGTTGTGGAACGGGCATATGTTAGTCAATCTTTGAAGATGCTTTTAATTCCCAGTATTGGGAAGATGGAGGAATTGCAACAAAGTGAAAATGTAAATGCTAAAGTTTTTTGTATTTTGTTTCCAGGCAGTACAATGCCAGCAAGAAAAATGTGTGGCTATTCTGCTGGAACATGGTGCTGACCCAAATCTGGCAGATGCTGATGGCAACACTGCCCTTCACCTGGCCGTCCTGTCTGGTAGTACTGCTGTAGCAGGGCTGTTACTTCAGCATGATGCGAATATTGATGCCCAAAATAAGGTAAATTTTTATATTTGTTAATAAAGTGCTTTCCAAAAGTTGCATTCATATTTTTCTTACACTTTTGTTTGTTTGTTTTAATTTTGATTTTTAACTTTATCTGCCCTTTCAGGAGGGATGTACCCCTCTTATTCTTGCTGTCTCCGAACATCATGAAGAAATAATGGAGTTTCTCCTTAAAAAAGGAGCTGACGTGCATGCTCGAGATCAATGTGAAAGGTCAGGGGCTGTCAAAACTTTACATGGGTCTCTTTAATATTCTTCGGCTTGGCTTGAGAGAGGCATGGGAATGAGGTTTGAAAAAAACACAAAACAAGGAGCCACACAGAAGCAATTACTTCTGTGTGACTTGTGAAAGATGGTCATACCTCAGTGGCTTGCTGTCATATCTCGTTCAATGCTTTCCACATTGAGGATTGCAGAATGTTATTGTCTGTGATGGCCTTTCTGGCAGGAAGCCTGTCACTAGCTCAGTGACATTCCCTCAGATTGAAAAGCCATCTCCTGCATAGTAGTAGAGTTTATAAGTGTTGTCTGTGCGGAAGCTTTTTTTTATATTAAACATTTAATTGTTTTGAGACCTTCTCCAATTTTATTGTTTATCTTAATGAAAAAAGCTTTTTCTTTCCTTTTCTTCATTTTAAAGTAAAGGAGAGTATGCTTTTTTGAGAGTGAACAGAAACAAAAATATTTATGGTGAGTGTAAAGCAGTCTATTTCATATCGTATTTCTTGGATCCTTCAGAACCCCGCTTATGACTGCTGCTTCTGGTGGAGAGCTTAATGTGATAAAGGTTCTTCTTCGGTATGGTGCTAATGTTTCCCATAAAGACACTAACGGATGGACAGCAGAGGATTATGCTGTTATTCATGGATATTCTAGGTAAATTTAAACTGTATCACCAGAGTAAGTTGTCAGTTATCAGTGTGGTTTTTGATAATATTTGATCACAGCACCAAGGTTTAATGATGTGCTGAGACTTGTGTAAGGGTGTCCTCAGTGATGTCTTCATAGAATCATTTAAATTGGAAAAGGCCTCTCTAAAGAATCAACCTAACACTGCCAAGCCCACCACTAAACCACATCCCTAAGTGCCAATCTACAACGTCTTTCAAATACCTCCAGGCCTGGTGACTCAATAGCTTCACTGGTCAGTCTGTTGTAATGCCTGACAACTCTTTCACTGAAGTAATTTTTCCTAATATCCAGTTTACCCTTCCCCAGTACAACTTGTGGTCATTTCTCCTGTCTTCTGATATGTATCATTGCAGTGTCTAGTGTTAACTTGGAAGTTGAAGAAAATTTTTACCCAGAGTTCTTGGTTAGATTTCAAGTTTTATGGCTAAGCTCACATTTGCTAACTATAAACTCTAAAATCTGTCTGTGTCCTACAGTTATCCAGAGGTGAAACTTGACAGGCAGCAAGCAGGAGTTAATACCTTCGTACATTTGAATATGACTGTAGAGTGAACATGACTGTAGTGAATATTGAACTATGCAATAGTCATGCAGTAAGTGCATATGAGTACATAAATCTATATGGCTATGGATAGAATGAAGACAGGATAAGAATAGGTTGGATAAGAAGTGGCTGTTAACTCTTCTATTAAGTGTTATATGCAAGTATGGGAATATTTTTTACCTAATGCATTTCTTCTCTTTTTCTGTACAGTCTTAGCAAACAACTGGCAGAATATGCAGACTGGGAAAACACAGGAGAAGCTTCTACAGGTGGTGGTGCACGAGGCACCACAGCACTTGGCACTCCACACAGGGCAGCAGCTGCTGGCTTTACATTGGGTGCACCTGCTGTGGACAGAGGAGGTAAGAGCCTTCACCATGGAGGAGCTCACAAGGACAATCAGTGTGGCTTTTCCTTAGTGGGTTTGTGTTGTTAGTGCTTACTGCTGGCTTTAGTGGAGGCATCAGATGGAGTAGCACAAGCTTTGTGAATGTGCTTATTTGGTGGTAGTTGGAAGTGCTGCTTGTCAGGCTGTGAAAGCATTTGATTTGCATTCTGTGTTCACTTCTTGGGGTTGTTACTTTCTATCTGTCAGATTGTCCACCTATTTGGGTTTTCCTAGAGAGAGAGAGGAGGATAGGAAAGGCACTAGGCAAAAGTGTTTACTTTTCAAGTGTGTACTTCTGCCTAGAGATGGCAACTGAGATTGTGAAAATCCAATTACAAAAGCAGTGGGTTCCACCTGAGTAGTTGTTCCTCTTTCTGTACTTGGGAAGCAACAGAGAAATGAGCAGAAAGGTATGTGTCTTGTTAGTTTTCATGGAGTTTGTGTCTTCATTTTAACGTTAATTGTTCCATCTGCACTAAGGTCTTTCTTACATGTCCTGTTTCTCAAAATCAGTTATGACTTTCCATGTAGGTGTTGTAGAGACATACTTAGCAAATATTGGAAAAGTAACTTTGTTGGGAATAACATTGCAGTGTCCGTGAATGCTGTATTGGCTAGAGCACAGTTTGATTTACAACACAAATAATGCTTTTCTTCTACTTTCAGTAATTATGATTTTTTTTTTAGAAAAGAATTATTACTTTGTGATCCAGAAAAACAATGTTTTTTTTTTGATCACAAGGCAATTTAACTCCTTCAGTGAGTTTTAAAAATGCAGTCTATGGTTATGAGCTCAGACTCCTAGAGGAATCTTAGAAAATGAATACCTGAGTATAAATGAAATAGCATGTCTTGTACTTTACATTTCAAGCCCTACAAGTGGGAGATTTTATTATTTCTGAATTTTTAAGGGTGTTACTTTGGAATTATGTGGCAAATGGGCAGAAGACACTGCTCAAACACAATTCATTATGCATTTAAATACAGTTCCTTAGTCCATTTTTAAATGTCTAGAAAAATGAGCAAAATATGGGATATTTTTCCTCACTGACCTTTCCTAGATATAGGAGTTTAATTTAGAGTCAGGCTTTGTTGCTTTGACTTAGGAACACTTGATTTGACCTGGTCAGAGATTTGGAAAATTGCTTGATAGATTGCAGGAATGCAATCTTTTGCCCAAACAGTGCACACTGTTACTGTCTCTTAGAGATTAGTAACATAAAGAGAATATTTACCTACATTAATTATGCAGTCTCTAACTTGCACAGAAAAAGTACAGGTCCTGCAGCATGAGAGTCCTTCTAATATGCTGCAGTAACAGACTTTGAAGCCTCTGTTAGAGAGAAGTTGGAATGATCTCAGGAGAACAGAGAAACATATTTTGGAATTATTTTTGTTTCTGTTGCTCTTCTGTACAATTTTTCTGGAATCCTCAGTGTTGTCTTTGTTCCTTTTGCTAATTTTGCACTTGTTGAATATGTTTCAAAATACTCTCCTCTAGTGAGCAATTCAGCCTACTTCAAAAGTTGGCTTTTGTTTATATGAATATTTACTGTGTGATGTGTTGTTCCTTTCTTGTTCCTGGGTCCCTATGGAAACTGTTGGGTTTCCATCATAGAGCTCTTTGAAAAGAATTCAGTGATTTCTATCTCCCAAGTTCAGTAAAAGCTGTCCTGTATTATCTCTTCAGAAAGCTGAGAAATGTAGAAGAGGTGAGAAACTATCATGCAGTCCTTTCTTAACTCTTTAAATGTATCTTGCTTTGATACAAGTAATTTTGCCACATTCGTTCCCTGTGGTAAAATCTATAGAAGCAGGACTCCCTTCTGTTCTGATATAAACATTGCATCATGAAGAAATTTGGTGTCAGCTGCAATAACAGAATGAATTCTTGCATTTTACTAAGTGGGATGGGTAGAGCAGATGCACAGTGATTTATATTCTGAACTTGTGTTTCCCAACACACAGACATGTACACACAAATACACCAGTCAACGCACCCATTTTGGTCCGGTTGTGGCCTGCTCCATAGCCCTGGGGAACATACTGCCCTCTTGTCATGTCTGAGTGGTTCAGCATGGTCAAAGGAATATAAGCAGGACTCTTCCAACTGAGGTAGAAGTGGCCTGTGTTTATATCAGGCACCAGCTGACACAACTTTTAAGATTAAGATGAGCTGGTTTAAGGCAACAAGTTACTGTGTTCCTTTTTTAATGAGGGATAACGAACGTGCTAAAACTGTAACTTAAGACAAGTGTGTGTAAATAACATAATGTCTCAAAGTTACATGCTGGTCTGAGTACAGGGAGCCAGGATTTCCTTGAAACTTCTGGATAGTCTGCAAAGTTTGGTTCTTGACACATAACGGATTTTTGAGATCTTCCTTAGAATAAGGACTTGTGTGTGCTGTATGTGTAAGGCACTGTACAACCATGAAGGAATTTAATTAGCATCTCTGCTAGACAAGTAGTCAAGTTGAGGGAAATACAAAATTATCAGGAGAGTATATTTCCAATAATATGTTTCAGTGTTTCAAAATACTGAAATATGGATGTTCTACATGGAGCAAGTACTTTAAGTTACTGTTTGACACTGTCCCTTGAAAGCAGAGTTCTTTAGACTCTGGTTGAGTTGTTTCCAGCACTTCTGACTGTAGAATAGGCTGATAGTCACAGTATGTTCTCCCATTGCTGTAGCTGTTTTGATGTACTGCTTATGTTTTCCAAGTTTCTGGAAATTCCAGTTTATTCTGATGTCATTGTTCCATCTGTCCTTTCCATGCCTTTTCCTAAATGGATATAGGAATGCAACAATCTCCTAACCAGACATCAAGAACAGGAAAATCAAGGAAAGGTATTTTATACAGTAGCATTTAAAATATGAAACATGTTGTGCAGTATACAGATATCAACACATCTATGATGTTTATTATCCTGGAGGCTCCTATTTTGATGGTACTGGTTTTATGAACTACATTTGAGAGCAGGCTTTGTGTGATTTTTGTTTGTTTGCATGTTTTGCCTTTGTTCTTTATTATTGAATTTAGTGTTTGCTTTGTGTCATTGATGATAGTAAATAATTTTTTAAGTAAGCCCTTCTTGTACTCTGAAATGGAAATGGGCTTGAATTAAAGTGGAAATAAGCAATCCCCAGAGACTGCTTTTCTAGATCCAATTTTTACTGTAATCAGAGTTCTGTCTGAGAGGTAGCTCATGAACTTTCTCTTTTGCCTTCTAAAGGACAATGTGACTTGTTCTTGATCACTGCTTAAAGTCACTATTTACAGAGTGACAGAATATTTGGAATTAGAAAGGATCCACAAAGATCATCAAGTCCAGCTCTTAAGTGACTGGCCTATACAGGGATTGGAACCCACAAACTTGGTATTATTAGCACCATGCTCTACCCAACTGAGCTGATCTATTCATTGGAAGCAAAATTTCAGAGAACTTACTCAGCTCTTTTGATTACTTATAACTGTACTAATTGAAAATATAGCTGAAGTCACCCATCAGGCTTGATAACTGACTGCCTCCACACTGGAGCAGTGGTGGAGATGTTTTTTCTCAGCTTGGGAAATCAGCAGGTAGGTTAGACTGCTGGTACTGATTGAGTTAACAGGAACTGTGGTATGTACGGGTAATTATTATTATTTAAATATTGTGTGTTTGCAAAAAGAAACAGTAAAAATTAGAGACTGCGTTGTATTTTTAAACTGTTAGCTTGTCCTTGTTTCAGCTTCTAGACTTTCTCTTCATGACATGCACACTGTATTTCATTGTCCATCAGCCCAGTGCAGGTCAGGAGATTTACTCATCAACATTTCTACATGTATCCTGTCTTTAGAACAGACAAAATTTCCATGCTCTTTTGTATTTAATGCTAGTGGAGGAGATGTCTTCAGGCATATGATATGCCTTTGTTTTCTTTTCCGTTTAATGATTCTGCCAAATACTTTGGATTGGTTGTTATGATAGTTGACAAGAATTAGTTATCAAGAACTTGAGGAATACTGAAATAGGTACTATTGGAAGTTGTGTTTATTTCCTCTTCTGTTTTGGGAATTGAAGAGCCCTTTTATATGATCTTAGCTGTTGATAGTTGAGAGGTTCTAGCACTCTTGAAGCTGGATTCCTAGAGGTCAGGTTTCTTCAGTGGGTCAGAGATGTGCTAGAGTGCACTCTCAACAGTTTGCAAGTAGCCCTAAGTTGGGAGGATCAGTGGATGCACTTCAGGGTAGTGCTGTCATTCAGAGGCATTTACTCTGCCAGACTGTGTAAATGAACTCTCAGGCCTGTCTAGCAAAATTCAGCCAGGGCAAATGCAAAATCTGCACATGGAAAAGAACAACCCCTTGCTACAAAGCATGCTGGCACTGCCTGGCAGGAGAGATGCCTTGCTGAGAAAGCCTGATGGGTCTTGGCAGAGTGAGCTGAGAATGAGCCATCAGCAGGGTGCCCTGGCAACAGTGTCCTGAGTTGTATTAAGAGCAGCATAGCCAAGAGATTGAGGAAATTGATTGTCCACCTCTGCTTGGCACTCTCTGGATTATGTCCAGTGCTCTGGGTGTAATTTGAGCCTCCAGTGCAAGAGAGATTTGTCTTTCAAAAGTGAGGAAGCTCAGTGCAAAGCCATCAGATTCATCAGGGACAGGAATATTTGCCCTTTGAGGACAGGTTGAGGAAGCTGGGATTTTTCAGCCTAGAGTAGTGAATTTGCAGAGGACCTAGCAGCAGCTTCTAGTATATGTGAGAAGACAAATCCAGGTGCTTCCCAGTGGTACATTGACAGGAGGCAGAGATATAAGAGGCATAAATGGCAACAAAATAGTTTCAAATTGGATGTGGGAACAGTAAAACAGAGGTTGTACAGTCTCCCTCCTTGGAAGTGTTTAAGACAAGACTGGATAAAGCCCTGAACAACCTTATCTGACCTCATAACTGAGCCTGCTTTGAGAAGGCTGGCTAAGAGACTTCCTGAGGTTCCTTCTGACCTGATTTATCTTATTATCCGTTTGTAACACTGATGAAAGCTTGGGGTGTGCTATAGAGTGCCCTGGGTTTGCCACTTTTGTTTGCTGAATTCCCTTTTTGATGCAGTGTACAGAAGTGTTGGTGATTCTTCTACTTGAGCTTTAGACCTAGATTATGCTTTTTGATTTTCATTACCTTTGCAAAAAAACCCCTGAAACTGGGTAGAGCAGCAGACAGTGTAATATCTACCATAATGTTATACATAATGCTGCCTAAAATAATGAATCTCTGTATGTGATGTGTACTTGTGTGTAAGATGAGTACTTTGGAAGTTCTTAATGTCTTGCTAAACCACCACCATTTTGTTAATTGTTTACTACTATAGGATATTAATGTTATGCCTTTTTTTTTTAAGTTTAGGTGTGTTTCTATGTTTTTTAAACTTCTAGGTATAAGACTCCAGAAGAGATATAGCTCTGGTCTTTTTATTTCCTTTTTTTATTTTATTTTTTTTTAATTCAGTGTTGTTTGAAGATGCAATTTTGTTTGGAAGTGCAGTCATTTATGCCACCTTGTACTAAATTTACTACCCAAAGCATTGTTCTATTATGATGTGTAGAGTTGTCCATGTAAAATGTTGAATTTTTAAATGGTTAATTTTTAACATGCTAAATTTAATTTCAACATGTTGATTAATGTTTAAACAGCAATAGATGACTTCTCCCAAGGAGACTCAATAAGGTGAGACTTTTAAAATAATAACACTTACCTGAGGAATGACTTAAGAGACACGGTACTCATTTTGCTTTGCTTTTAAAGAAGCTCTGAGAAAGAGGGGAGCGATGACAGTTGGCATACCTCTGAGGAAGAGGAACTTGATTTTACCCCCAAGGTATGGTGCATTTACAGGAAAAATATCCTGTAAAAATAAGGGGTTTGAAGGCAAATTTTCTTTGGAACTGAAAGAAACTGCAGCTCCAGTCAATATTGTTTTCTCTTTAAAGTAATCTCTGGCATGCAGCCTTCCTTCTGCTGTGAGTTTTTTCCTAAAGGACCTGTATATGTGACAGAATATGCAGTAGATTTGTAATTGGAAGCCAAAAAGCAGTAGGTGACAAGATAGCCACATAGTTTTATATTTTTTCTTGTTCATATGAGTCAGATTTGAAGGCTTCAAAAATTTGTAAGTTATTATTATAGCCTATCCTGTTCTTGTCTAATCATTGTTATTGTTTTCTGTAAATTTGGGGATAGATTCCTAAGCGATAAAGGACATTGTTTTATCAAGATCTGTAAAAATCTTCATCACCTAGTTCTCCTTTCCTCAGCAGGTTCCTCAAGAGTGCTCAATGAACAGATGAGTTACTCAAATGGGTCATCTATTTTCTTCTATAAGATGACATTCAGTACTTGCATGTGATCTCACAATGCATGTTTTTCCCCTTTTTTTTTTCTTTTTTTTTTTTCTTTTTTTTGTTTAATGCTCGGGTAATACTCTTTTTATTAGTTACAGGCTCTTATGCCTACTGTTTTTACTAATAATTTGTAGAATTACAAACTTCTGAGTGATGTCTGGAGCATCAACTCTGTTGCATTGGCATTGTGCTGTGATGTAGAACCTGAGTGTGGTAGTTCAACCCACTCTGTAATGCTAGAGATGTAAGCATGTTTAGTTTTAACTTGATTTTATTTTCTTGCACTGATTTAAATAGAAATGATACATTTTCCTGCCATGATTTTGAAATTTAGGGGTATTTTCTAAGTGTACTTGCAAGGACTAAATTTATGCATTAAGTATGGGGATATTAGTAGTTACCTTGTGCACATTTGCAAGTAAGCATCCTGAAAATGCACTTTTAAATATAGTTGAATTTTGCTTAAGTATTGCACGTATTAGAAAGATATTTTTAGAACAATTATGCACATAAACATTTTTGGAAACAATTTGCAGAAGGGTGCCTGCACATACTTACTGAATTGGATATGAGAGGAGTGTTTTTATAGTTAGAAGTATAGGATAGAGCCAGCACTATCATAAGGACAGTCTCATTATATTTACTGTTCAAGATTTGATGTGAACAAAGGATTTGTTTTTGTTGCTGTTAAAAAAAGAATCTTAAATAAGTCTTTGTTTACAGAAGTTGCAGAAGCCAAACCTGACACTGTTAATGAATGCTTCACAGCAGTTCAGGAAAAACAGTAAGTTAATTTGCAAAAGGTTGCATGATATATTGACATATAAAGTAGACTTGCTAAGTAGCTATTTTTGTTAGTTTGGGGTTTTTTTTTTAAATAGTAAATGAGAAAAGTAGCATTTTGTAAACACGGCACTGAATAATTCAGAATAAAATAAGTCATTAAAATGAAGCTATTAATCACCTCTTAAGCCCCTTTCCTTCATCAAGTTCATCCTCTGTCCTGCTCAACCTCTTCATTTCTAGACATTCCCAAATGGCTCCTGTCTTGTACATTAATCTGATAACATGCCTATTACTGCTTCCATAATTCTTTCTGTTCACATGCCTTTTTTTTTTTTTTGTACTTTAAGATGATGGTGGTGGTTCTAGAATTGAAAGTCCTAAGTCACCGAAGAAAAGTCTCAAACAAAGAATCCCAACAGGTGCAAATGTGAGCAAAGGGGACAGTGAAGAATTGTTTAATCAAGATGTCTCAGCTGCAAGCAACCTGGATGAAGAAGAATTGGAGGAGGAAGAAGAGGAGGAGGAGGAGGAAGAGGATGAAAATGACAATGAAGATGGTGATGAAGATTATGAGGAGGAAGAGGAGGAGGAGGATGATGATGGTGAAGATTTTACTGAAGATGAAAAGGAGGAGGAAGAGCTGAAGGATGAAGAAACTCAGTCTAATGAAATACTGGAAGAGGAGAAGACAGAACCTAAAGGGGAAATTAATCAGAAATTAGAGTATTTCAGTAAAGCAAAGTATGAACGAGATGCTCGATGTGGAACAGGAAATGTCTGTGAGGATGATGAAATAAATAAAGAACATGATGAAAAGGTGGAGGAATCTGTTGATTCTCCTGTGTCTTTCATAGCTGAGTCTTGTGAAAGGTTTCAAGAAAATAAAGCAGCAGTGTCTCCAAAGATCATGAATAATGAAGTATCTTGCAAGTCAGTACCAAAACAAGCTGTCTTTCAAAATCTGAATAATCTGCAAGATATGCAAGAAAGCTGGAACAGAAAAAGCATGATTGAGGAGAAATTTCACAGAAACGCTGACTCCTGTTTTCCAAACTCTGAAGTGACAGAGTGGAGAAAAGAGGTACCTCAGCCTCTCGTAGATAGTTGTGGTGTTAAGGAGAAAAGGTCAAACTTCAGTGATGGCTTTGAACGTGGCAATAATTGGTTAGCAGAAAAACCCCCGGGACCTGAAAGTGAAAGACCAACCTCTGTCATACTTGAACATGTGGATGGTGAAGATGCTGAAGAAGAGGAATATGAAGGAGTAGATTATAAAGTCTATAAACCACTGAAAAAAGAAAGTGAAAACTTGCCCTTAAATAAGCAAGAAGAAAATTTGAGAGCAGCATTTCATTCAAGCAGTGAAGTAAGTATATAAGGATGATTCAATTACAAGGGTATTTTGAAAGGGTCAGATAGGTAAGAAACACATACTAAACCAGATTTCTTTTAATACCTATGTTTCACATATATCCATCTTTCAATCATTCGTTTTTGATGTTAATGTCTTACTTGGAGTCAAAACAGTTTGTGTGGTAATAGAATATGGAAAAAGAATAGGCAGTAGATTGTGGAATCGGTTTGTTTTTTCTCAGTTCTGTTACACTTTTTATCCGTGAAGTTTTACTATAATTTAGGAAAATTCATGGCATGATAGCTGAAAGTGACGAAACAAAAAAGAATTTTGTATGAGGGTGGGACGAAACAGTTGAATAAAACTTGCTTCTCAGTTTGACCTCATCAATGAAACCTGCATCTTTGAATGTACAAACACTCAAGAATCTTGCTTCTTACCTTATTTGTAGATGACTTTCCAACAGTGGGAGCAGAACAAGAGGAAGATGCTGAATCTCCCTGGGATTCCGAGGTACTTATTGTGAAGGACACAAGGGTTTCCACTGCAGGAAGTAGAAGTAAGATCCAGAATCACTTGGACACTACTGTTGGTAAGGCTTATTTCCTCTTTTCTTCCTTTTGCTGTATGTTTGTAACTGGGGGCCCTTGAAATAATTCTGCTCTAGGCCAGCTGCTTGTTTAGGTTTGGGATGAAGTTAGGTTGAGCTAATTGCTTGGGTCACAGCAGAGTTTGGTTTCTAGTATAGTCCTGAAACAGTGAAGTTCCTTGCTGCTTAAAATATTCTTACCTTTTCACAGAGGCTGGCAGGATTGTTGCTTTTTCACCATGCCGCCCAAGTCTGACCTGGTTAGCTGTTGCCCTTGGGGTCTACCAGCTCGATGGCTAGCTGCTTCTGAGCAGATCCTCTCTACCTTTTGCAGGTGTACTCTGGCCCTCTTTAAAATCACATTCAGCAGAGGCACTGCACATGTTGGCCTTGTTTGCCTTTTTCATTCTTTCTGTCCATGGCAATCAGCAAGGTCTGTAGCTAAGTCCCTCTGGTTCTTTTGAGAAAAAAGGACTCTTCCCATCCCCTTCTTAAAAATACAAGGCTCAAACATTGTTACTTTCAAGGTAATTTTAAGCTCTGCCTTGCTGATCTTTGTTCAATCCAAAGGCTCTTGCAGTTGGGAGCAGCACTGTGTTCATTCACTGCCGCAGGATATATGCCATGGGAATGTCCGTACCAACTTGAATGTCATATACAAGTTCACTACAAATGCTGGACCACTGCAGACATGTAGCTGTTGGTTCACAACCTGTATCTTGAGTTATCATGTCAATTCTTCTTTGTAGTTGTCTAGTCTGTCAAGATTTGTCAGCGTGGCAGAATAGTGGTATGAGGTTTTGCTTAGGATCTGAAAACAAGCACAATTGCTGTGATTTTCCAATATACTGTGTTTTGATGGATTCTTGCCAAGGGCCTTAAGAAACATTTTTGTATCTGGAATATACTTGATACTGTGCTACATGAATTGGTTTAGCAGGAACTTTTTGTATAGCAATTAGTTGAAAATGCATTTGTACCAATTCTCATTCATGTGTTTTAGGTTACACAGACAGATTCTGAAATGCCAAGAAAAATGCCATGTGGTGTGCTGCTCCCAGCTGCAGAGAGACATGGAGCATGCTCCCAGTTTGTTTCAGGGGAAAGTGACAATGGTAACTTCCTGGTGGGCTAATGTTTATCTGTAAACATTAATAAGATAAAGTAAACTTTTGTCAGTGTCTGTCTTAGAAATGCTGTCGTGGTATGAGTGCAAACAATACCAATGAAGTGCTTATTGTTTGTTAACTAATGCCAGTAATCACAGCACTTGCTGGCCTGTTTGTAAAGGAAATTCTTTGCATTATTTGTGTTCTTCCAGTGAGTATCTATTTTTTTTGATTCAGGTTCTTATTTCATAGTGATGACAGGTCAGTCCTAATAGACATACACTTTCTCAACATTTAACATTCTTAGATGGTAATGCAGCAGAAGACAGCTATGATCTGGCTTAGCATTTTTAATCTTTAATGGCTTTTTGATAGCTTATGTTGTGCTTTGCCTAGGAGCTAAAGTAGGACTACAGGTACAAGGATTTTTGCTGAGGATTTCTGCCTGTAATTTGTGACACTGTCTCTTGAGTGTCTTGTGCAAAACTTTACAAGCTTCCAGGAGTTTCAAATGCAGTTGTTAACTATTTGTTACAGAATTCTGCTTAGACAAGAATTCTACTAAGACAAGTTTAGGATCAGTGTGAAAAGATGGTAAAAGGTGGTTATGGTAATCTTTCTAAGGTCTTTTCACACTGCTGGAGCACCAGGTTTACTGAAATTGAATACTGTTTGTTTTTTAATGCTAGTTTGGTTTTTTAATATAAAATATAGAGAATTTTATTTAAATGTAAAATTCTTGCCATGGGGCCATTCTTAATAATTCTAAGTATTCTTTCATATACTTCTTTAGTCAGAAGACTCAAACCATAAGATGACTTAAGCAGAGGATTTGAGAAGTGTAGGTGGGATTGTGTGGGTTTGGAAATGATTTAATGTTGGACAAAATTAAAAAAAATATTTGGAACTATATTATAAATGTAGATTAAAACCAGACAACATTTGTTTCTGTTATTCCCCTGCAAGCTAAACCACAATAATCTGAACACTGCCTTGATTTTACTTTGTTAGACATGTATGAGGTTTTACTGTCTGCATCCATGCTTTCTTAGTCTCATCAATGGAAAAGAACATGCTCCTCAATATTAAGCACTTGCAGAATAATCACAGTCATAGTGCTGTTTTGTGATTATTCATTGCAGCAGATCAGCTTTGGCTTTTGAAATAATCCTTTTAGAATGCAGGATTCAGCTCCTTAAAAGGACTAAATATTTTAATCTTGTTCTGTTAACAAGCATGACCTTACTGCTTCACCTATATTGTCCTAGTTCTGTGATAATCATATTTTAAATCCAGGGTGTATGATGGGAAGCATGCATTGTTCTTTTCTTGTATACTAAGACACATGCTGCATGATGAGGTGAATGGAATGTTCAGTATTGTACTCTTGATGAAATAATGCTTGTGACTGATACTTAGTTGTAGAAACTGCTGATGTTGAATGGAGTAAAACGTATCCACAATTTAAAAAAATAACATTTCCCAAAATATTTTTCACTTCCAGGCTTTTTGGAGAAACCCAACAATCCACAGGTAAGTATTTGTTCGTGTTAGACTATCTACTTATTCTGCGCATTAAATAGTTTGTAGTTACTTTGAATTTGGTGTTTTATCATTGCATTGTCTTTCATAGCTGAAGACTCCCATATCTGTTTTGGAAATGAATGAAACATCTCCTGAAAACAGGCAGCAGAAATCAGGTACATTTGTCTTAAGTGATTCTGGATTTAGCTTCATAATCTTTTAGGAGTATTTAATAAAGCATCTGTTTTATGTTTTGCAGATCTGTTGCAGGAATTTGATTTAGAAGATGTTGAGTTTGTCCCTTTTTAGCAGTGAAACTTTGTATATAGAAAGGCTATTGTGTAGAATCCATGGTGTTATGGAGCAAGACAGGAGGTGCAGAGTGATAAGGGTGAAAAGCCTCCATCTTTTGTTTTTAGATTCCCCAGTTGAGTTGCCAAGACTCATTTCTTTCTGCAAATTTGTCACTTGAAAGTGTACTATATGCCTTCCACAAGAACAATGACAGTGAGGTGCTGCTTCTGGATTGTGTCTGGGATTGCCTGGAAAGCAGTTTTCTGGTATAACAGAGATTCAGAGTAGGGTGCCAGACTAAGTGAATACATCTGAGAAGTTTGTGACCTGCTCATATTATATAGAAATTCTGAGAGAGGGAAGAGTGGAATCCGGTTTTCAACAGTATAACCAAAACGTTCAGATCATGGATTGTTTCTCAGCATGACACAAATCTGTCTTTCAGTTCCCATCTATGTCTTCTGCAACAGATAAGGTAGCAGTTTGAAATACTCGGTCCAGATCCATGTCTAGAGACAGATTTGTTTCATGGACAGAGTAAAGCTGGGGCCTTAAAATATTTCAAAGCTGTGATTTTTTTAAATGGTTTTTTGTGTACTGCACATATGCACGTAGGAGAATTGCAGTTGATGGAGCCATATTTACTGTATGGCACACAGTGTTTCAAAGAGAAAGATCACGGTAATGCAGCTTTAAGAAACACAATTAGTTTGTGACCACTTGCAGCAATTTTCAGCAAATTTCCTTTAAATGCCATGTAAAAGCAGTGTACACAGATGCATCTTCAATCTGTTTTATGGTAATTTTTGTCTCTTAAGAGCTCACAAATTAGAGGTGATGTATTTTCTTTCAAGATTTTTCTCACAAATATGATTCAAGATGCGCTCTAAATGTAAATATGTAGCATTAGGTCATGCTGGTTATGAAAATATAGTTTTCTCACTGTAGGTGAGTACTCAGGATCTTCTTTTCATCTGTCATCAGCAGCTGAAAAAGAAGATGATAAGGATGCCATTGAAAACTGTGGAGTGTGGGTATGTAACACCAAAGGTTTTGCATTAGGAGTCTGAAATAGTAAATTGTATTTACACTGTAAAGCAAAGAATTATATATTATACACATGTAAAGTGAATGAAACTTACCAGTCAATTAATAATTCTGTAGAATCCTGTAGATAAAGGTTGTACAACAGCCTGAAGTAAAATAGGATGCATTCTTCTTATGGTGGGGAAAACTCCTTATTGTTATATTGTATACTTGCTGTTACACTAATTTGTTTCCAGCTGGTTTGCTTAGACTTTGTTCAGTGTTTTTCCTTTTGCACAGTGCTGAGAAACAGGGCAGTCAAATTCTTCTTTTTCCCTATGCAAAATGCACATTCAAGTAAAGAAGGAAATTTGTCTATAGTATGCTGATCTATTTGTTTAAGTATGCCTGGTCTTCCACTTTGTAACACATGAAGAAACAAAAAAAAGTTAAATTTTGTGACCTCAACTCTTTCCTTGTCTCTACAAAACATCTGCTTGTTTGGCCATGTTACTAAGTGTTTGAAAAGTTTTTTTTCAGAGAGTGCTTTAGATGGGAATAAGGCAGGTATCCTGTTTGTGTTGGGCCTACAATAGGAGAGGGAGAGGGCTGGATAGAGGAGTTTTCTGTAGCACCTCAAGGGACAGTGGAGCAAATTACTTCTACCCCACACCCAGGTGTGATGGAAAAGGAACATGCTTAATAGTGACAGGCAGAGCATGGAACTTAGGCCTGCTGGAAATGGCAGTGGTTGGGCAGTGACCTTGGGGAATGGTGAGGCTGAGACAGATGGGAGCTGGCTGAGGTGTTCCTTCCCCGTTCTGAAAGCAGGAGGTTTTGCAGAGAGAGGAGGGCTTGGCTGTCAAGAGAGAGGAGGTGAATGGTCTCAGCCCCGTGGGACTAAGGCTGCAGCCTGTGTGGAAGGCGCTTGGAAGCATCTGGGGATGGAGCATGTGAGGAGTAGGGTGTGGGGTCAGGGACAGGGGGAGACTGGGGGTGTTAAGTGAGGCATGGTATGGTTTTCACATACGTTTGGGTTCCTCACTTTAGGGATAAGGGAAGGAATGGACAGGTTTCCCTCATAAATGCTTTTCTTGGGATCTTGGAATGAAATTTAACATTTCTGTGCCTTGGGTGAAGAAATAGACCCAGTTCTCTGTGTTGAGGACAATAAAAACATTGTCATGTTTATTAACACTGTGTTAGCTTAGCTGACAGGGGATTCTAAAATACCAGACAGTAGGAAGGAAGGAAGGTGAGGAAACATGGGCAGTTCCAAAGAAAAATGGTATTAAAGCAATAAAATGTGAAAAAGTAAACTGCTGCTAACAAAGGCCACTGGTTACAGAAAACAGGCAGGCCTAAACGTGAAAGTAACTCTCGTATAGACAACTCCAATCCTAGAAAAGCTGTTGTCTCTAATAAGTCGCAGTAGCTAGTCAGCCCTTTATTTTTAAGAAAAAGCTGAGTCAGTGAACCTTTAATTTAGTATCCCTTGATTTATAGTATAAAAATTGCTCTCAGAATATCTTGATGCTGTTATTCCTGTTACATGATAGGATGAGTTTGCAATGGAAATTGCCAGATTAACTTCCTTTTTCTTGGTAATCTTTTTGTCTGTACCTGTTTGCTTAAGGATAAATGTATTTTAGAAACTACCAACTTCATAGAAAAAACAGCACATGAAAATCAGACTGACAAAGCAGAAGTTTCACATCAGGAAGCCCTAACAAAAAATGAGGAATCGCACAGTGCTGACAAGGAGTTAAATCTAAAACCTTGGGAAAAAAGATATGAAAGAATGTGGGTTGAAAATGAGAAAAGGGAATTAAAAACAAATTTCAAAAACATTACAGCAGAGCTGAAGCAGTTGTTTGGTGAAAATGAAGCTGGGGAAACTGCTTCACTTGTGGAAGAAATACCAGAAGATGGCTTTGGTGAAGAATTGAAGAGTTTTCACATTATTTCATCTCCTGTGACAGAATCAAGTAATAATTTAGAAAGCCAATGTGAATTTGGTGATATTAAACTTACACTAGGTGGAAAAATACCCAAAATGGAAATTGTATTTCCAAGTCATGGTGTTCTTCCTGATCAAAATAGCATAAGGACAAATGAAGATGATACCTGGAATACAGACAAAGAAGCTGGCATTAACAATGTAGATAACAGGAAGATGTCTCTAACTAAAGGAAAGAAAAAGAAAATGCCTACTATGGAAACAGAAGAGAATGATAATGGAAATAATAAAAATGCAGAGGAAGGTCCTGCTTACTCCCTGAGACATAGCTTAAAATCAAGTATTTTGGGTGACATTTCTAATATTTTTCCGAAAATAAGACCTGTTTGTACAAGTGATGAAAGTGCTCATTCTGTAACAGAAATGAAACTTAAAAGATACTCTGGATTTAATGATGATGTTCCCAAGGACTGCCATATCAACAGTAATGTAGGAGAAACGGAAACTGAAAGTCTTTTCACTAGTGCTCAGGAGTGTGATGTGCTGGAAAGGAGTCTTGATGAAGAGCTAAAACGAGATCTGGAAAGATTTAAGTGTAAGGTAGGAATGCTGCAAACAGTATTCCTGGCTTTGGAGAAAGAGAAGGTACAGCTGCAAAAAGAGGTAGTTCACCTGCTACTCCTTACTCTTTAGTCTTTCTCCGTATCAATGGTCCTGTTCACTTCAGCTATTCATCATTAAACAAAGTTGCTTTGTGCAAATTAGTTACTGTTTGAATGAAAATACAAAACTTATTAATAAAGACAGCAGTGGAAAGTTGCCTTTTCCCCTTTTCAGAAAACACAGAATGCACTATTGTTCCAGTTTAACAGTATGTGGCGCTCAGTTCCAGTGTAAGAAGTTAGCACTTCATTGACATAAAAAGTGCACACAATTAAATCAGTTTTGATTCTGAAACAAAGAATGAAAATAGCTTCTGAACAGGGTCTTGACTGAACTTCTCATTTGATTTCTGCATGGTGTGTCTTCATTGCCCTTCACTTAAATTCCTGTTTGCTGTGAGTGGAGTTGTTTCTGCTTGTGGGTTTGGAATCTTTTTCCCAGCTACCCTACCCTCCATGGAGAAAGCAGTAACCAAGCACACATCCACTTGTTTTTTTATTTCTGTTTTCATAACAAACATTGTGCAGTTCTTGTAACTCTTTAATCCATCAGTAATGCTTTTACATTTTTGTTGTTCATGTTTTAAGATACACTGTTGTTTTCTTTCTAAGGACTATGTTTCTGTTACATCATAGGATCATGAGTAAATTTGAAGTACTTTCAATGACAATACACTTTGTAATGTAATTTTTGTGAAAATACTTGCTTATATTTTTTTTATTTTACTTTTCTTCAGAGGTAAACCCTGAATTATTCGATCTTGAATATTGTGTTTCTCTTGTATGGAAAGACTGATTAATACTTGAAACTTAACTTTCTTTTTGTAGGTTGAGAAGGAAAAAAACAAAGAAAGATGTTTCAATATGCAGACAGTGGCAAAAGAGGAAAATATTGATAAATTAAATACACCACCATGCAATATTACCAATCTGCAAATGAAAGAAAAGCTTACCCAAAGGAAGAATGACTCTTTGAAAATGGAGGATGAAAACATTACAGAAGAAAAAGTCAGCAAGAATTTTTCACCTAAGGAGAGGTCAGAAATTATTAAAGTGCCAATGAAAGTAGAAACTAAAGACGTGATCTCTAATTCATATTTGTAGGATTACTTAAGTATCTTTTAGGTTTTCTAATATTGTTCTAGTTGAAGCAGTTTCTTTGATGCTGAAAGCAATACTGAGCAGACCATTGCTTCATAAACATATAAGAAAAACACTTTTTTTAGGAAGAGGGGAAAGATATTACCAAATGAATATTAAAAGTTTGAAGGAGGCACTGATATTTTTATGAAATCCTAAGCAGGAGGGTTTTTCTGTCTGTCCTTCAAAGGAATCTCTGCTCTTAATACTTCCCCTAACGTGGATATAAGATACTGCCTGAATCTTGTTCAGGTTCCACATTCTCCCCTCATTCCTAGGGCAAGGTATCTTAATGCTTTCAAATACTCCACAGTCCTTGGAGTTAAGTCTGTGTTTTATCACAGATATTTTTAATCTCAGTTGTTTGAGATATGACAGTTTCTGACATCATCTTATGTCTGTTTCAAATAAATATTTTCTGTTAAGTTACTCAATAGGTAGGGTTTTTTTCTTTCTGTTTAATGTAGCGAATTTGCCCTGAATCGTGATGTTGCAAAGAAAAATAAAGGACCAACTTCAAAGCAGAAGGCTAATCAGCAGATGAGTGGGAATAACTTGCAAGTACTAGATGATAGCACTTTCAGTGAAGCATCTCAAGAGGAGGAAAGGTACTGAATATAAGGAATGTTATAACTAAAACTTACCTAATTATAAAAATTGACCTAAAGCTAAAGGTAAGTTTTTTGTAAACCTGATATGCACAGTGGTTTTTGTTCCTTCATGTGACCATATTTTTGTACTCCAAAAGACATCTTTTTTGCTTTATGTGCTTTGAACATCTTAGCCAAGTTCATTATAAAGACAGTGTGCACAAGTGCTGAAAAATTACCTGAAGATCAGTGTATATGTAAACATACATTTTATATTTTTAAAAAGGGAGAGGAGAGACTTATACAAGAACAAAGCTGCTATTTCATCACATGCATCTTAGAGTTTGAGGTTTATTTTTATTTTTTTTCTTTAGCTGTATGTCCTCTTGACTTCTTGCCTCCCTCAAACTTAACTGTAGGGGAAAAATGAGAAACAGAAATTGCCAACAGAATACAAGCACTGTTCAGCAATAGCCAAAACACTGGTATGTTGTCAGCACTGTTTTGGTCAGATATGTAACACAAAGTATTGTGTGGGCTGCTCTGAAGAAAATTAACTCCACCCCAGTCAGCCTAAGTACATTAGAGAATCCAAAATTACAGGTCTTTGGCTTTAGGGGAGAGAGTCTAAATACTGAAAAGAACTAAACCTCTAGTATTAAACAGGGAATGCACATAACTATGGATCTGTATATCTCCATGTCTGTAGCTATATGATTCCTGTCACTTTGAGTGAACAGTTATTTCAGCTATTTGCTTAATATCTTGTGAGAAAAAATCATCTTCCAATAAGGATGATATTTTTTTCCAGTATTCACCTACGTCTAAAAAAACTCTTGTATTAAATTTTACGTTAATTCCCTACGGAAATTAGGTTTTCAAAACAACTTTAGATATTGTCCTTAATGCAGGATAAACATTCCAGAACTGAAATACATTTCTCTTTTCCAGACCTGCAGCAAAAACAGCGAGTGAAAAGAACAAGGTACTGTAAAATAAGTTTCTTGATAAATAGTTTTATCAGCTTTCACTCACTCAGATGGGACCAGTCAGATATGGCCTGTGAATGAAAGAATGAGTCATTCATGCATGTGTAATATTACATAGTTGTATACAGAAAATACTGTATTGTTTGTAGGTCAGCATACAAATGGATGTAACTGATGACCTTGATTCAACTCACTCATCTGACACAACATCAGAGGACGTCAAATTACCAACATCCACCTACAAAGAGGCTGTGTTGCTCTTGGAACAGCTTACTGTGGATCATACAGGTATGTTCTAAAGTCATTTTTTCCTCAGATGTTACAAGTTTCTCTTTTAAATCATGGTTTCTTTGTGTGCACTTCTAGGTATTGTGGTTCATTTATATGTAGGATAACACCTCCCCACCACCCCCTTCATCGCTGACCCGTGTGTACAGAGCAGCTGTTTTTCCTATTTGTTGCCTTTGTGGTGGTTTTGTCTTCTCCTAAATATATTTTTATGAGGTGCCGCCAGCTCAGTTGTGTCCTGCAGTTGGTCCATTGTCTTGTGTCTGGAATGGGGCAACACCTGGCCTCTTCTCACAGAGAATTCCCACTGCCTTCGTTCATTCTTCCCACTGCCAAAACTTTATCACCTACACCAAATCAAAGAATTTGCACATTATAAAGTATTTATGCATATGTGCAACTTTGTCTCGTCTGTCTCAAAACAGGTTCTGCTATTTTACTGAAAATTCAAAACATACTTCTTAAATATGAACAAATAATAGAGCATGAAAAAAATCGATATGCTGCAGTCTGGAGAGAAGTAAGAAAATTGGAAAGTGAAAAGGAGGAATCAAAATTAATAGCGGAAGAGACTCAAGATTTGAAATCCATATTGGCTCATCAAGAAGTGGAATGGAAAAGTGATATCCAAAGCCTTAAGTATGTAATCTTGTGTTCTGATAATGTGTTACCTTGTAACAGTATATTTACCTAGATAAACTTAAAAGTGACAAAACACTTAAGAGTTTATTTTCATATACTGTAAATGTGATACCATGGATAATGGAATGACAATGGAATTCTTTAAAAAGTTAAAAATTAGCGTAAAAATATAAAATCTGAAAATATTTAACATTTTTATGGTTTGAGTTGTTTCTGCAAGTTCATAGTGTAGAATATCTAATTTTTTTTATCAGCACTTTAGTTTCTCAACTCTACTGTTAATTCCCAGGTTTACTTTGAAACAAGAAGAAGAAAAGAGGCTCAGAGTAGAAACACTATATGAGCAAACAAAAGAAAAACTCAGAAGGAAAGAAGAGCAATATTGTAAAGAGATGGAGGAGAAACAGCAGCTTGAGTTACAATCAAGGAATTTAGAAATGGAGTTAGTAACACTGAGAAAGCTCTTCAAACAGGTATGTTAGATAATGACTTAAAAAATTGTTTTCTTATATTCTGCTTCTTTTTAATTGTTGTTGTATTCCAGTATATCTAAAGAAGAGGTACTTTGTTCATGGAAGAGGCATTGGGTAACTATTGCCAGATTTTGCAAACAGCTGGTTTCCAAGTAGTGTGTTCCCTTTTTTTTGTTTGTATTTCAAAGCCTAACTTTGAATTATTTTTCAGAATTATTATAAAATAATAATTAAAATAACTAAATTATTCTGTATTTCTTCTTAATTTTCAGAATACAATTAAAATTTATAGATGGATTATTGTAACTGTGGAAAGCAAAAATATTTAAAAGAATACAAGGGAGAGTGGGGTGATATTGGTAGCTTTGTTTCTCTGAAGTTGCAAGTAATTTAATTGTGTATTATTGTTGTAGGTTGAAGACGAGCGTGATGAAACACAGAGACAGCTGTCTCAGGAAAAGAGTGCCAGAGCCCTGCAAGAAGGCATTTTGAACAACCACCTTTGGAGACAAAAGGAACTAGAAGAGGAGACAAGAAGAACTACAGGGAAAAGTTCAGATGTAAGGAGATTTTTTTTTCTAATTAATTCAATTTCACCATGTTTGTTCTAAAGTTATAATAAAACTTCTATTTTTTTTCTGCTTCTTGATGGATTATTTGCAGTGTAATTTTACTGTGCAAATACCTCTTCTGTTTTCCCTTATGTCTTTAAAAGTTTTGGAAAGCAGTATCAGTGTTGTATGTGCAAGTAGAAAGCTAAAAGAAAACACTATTTACACCATTTTTTGTGTTGTTTTTATTTCCTTGATATTTTATCATCACTTTTTAATGTTTCTAGCAGGGAAACACCTAGCTACCTACATCCAGGCTGGCAAGGAAGGAAATTGACACTCACTCTGTGTTCCCATTACTTGGGGTTTTTTAAATTATTTATTCCCTTATCAAACTTGAAGTATGAAGTTCTTTTCCACCTCTGCATATTAAAGTTTTATGAAGAAAGATCAGCAATAAATTAAACTCTCAGTACTAGTTAAAATAATTGAAGGAGAATAAGCAATCATGGACACTATAAAAAAAAAGTCTTGAAATGTTTAATGAATTTACTAAGAATGTGAAATTCTTGGAAGAATTATTTGTTCTTGGCTATGCTACCCAATAAATACAGGGTGAATATGCTTACATGGAAAATAATGTGTATAATAAACAGGCACTATACAAGAGTCTTGCATTCCAGGGATGTTTCAGCTGTATAGCCAACTTTCAGTAATGCCAAAAAAGTATTGAGACATTTAAAGAGGAAAATACCCTTTTTAGCCTGGTAAACAGAGATTTTACCCAACTGGTAACATTGCCAAATTAATCCAAAAGGGAATATTTTAAAGACCTGCACACACCAGAAAGCACTGTTATTTTATAACCTTTATACCTGAAACATTTTGAATAATTTTATTATTTAGTTCCTGGTTTACAGAAAAAAAAGGTATTATGTATTTGGCATGTTTATTTATGGATATGTTATGCTTTCATTCTGTGCCTGCAATGGACACAAGCACTAGTTCATTGAGTATCTTATGTGTTATCTGTAATTTCATTCTCATCTTTGCAGTCATATTGCACTGTTAGAAACAGTAAAGTGCAGTTTAATGCTGAAGTGGTTTTGCAGAATTATTTCCCACCTGAATATTTATTCATGTTCCCTATCATTCAGGAATCCGACACTGAGAGAGAAAAGGATCTGTTGTACAAAAATCAGTTACTGCAAGATGAAATTGCCATGCTAAGACTAGAACTTGATCAAATAAGACTTAGGCACCAGGAGGAAGAAGGAAAATATTTAGAGGAAAATGAGACCTTGAAAGAAAAAAATGAAGATCTCCACAAAGAACTTAAGCTGAATGAGGAAGCCTTAACGCAAACAGTTTTTCAGTACAATGGACAACTGAACTTACTGAAGGCAGAATCTGCAATGCTAACTTCCAAACTTGAGCAGACAAAAGAAAGCAAAGACAGACTAGAGACAGAAATTGAGTCATTTCGCTCACGCTTGAACACTGCTGTGCAGGAACTTGAACGTCACCAGTCATCAAGAAGCGATGTTGAACGAACGTTTCAGAGGGAGCGCGACGAATGGCTTCGCTTGCAAGACAAGCTCCATCATGACCTCTCAGATGTGCGAGAAGCCAACAAGAGCTTGTCTCAGCAGCTAAGTAAAGCTGAAAGCAAAGCTAACAGTCTAGAAAATGAGCTTCACCAGTTAAGACAAACGCTCAGAGAGAAAACATTGCTTTTAGAAATGACACAAAAAGAATTAAGTCAAACTCAGTGTCAGGCAAAGGAATATGATCATGCTCGACAGCTTGAGAAAGACCAAGTAAACAAGCTTATAATAAAGCAGGAATCCATGCAGGAGCGATTGGCCCAGCTCCAGAGTGAAAACGTTTTGCTCCGTCAGCAACTAGAAGATCTGCAGAACAAGGGGATCATCAAAGAAAAAGTAGTTAATGATGTCCAAGATCGGTTTAATGATATTTTCAACAAACTCAGAGCTGATACTGAAAAGCAAGTTTACCTAGTGGAAGAGAGAAACAAGGAATTAAATGCCAAGTGTATTGATTTAAGAGAACAAGTCTTCAAATATGAGACTGACAAAATAGAGAGAGAGGTAAAATACAAACTTACAGCAATTTAAAGTTTTCCAGTTCTTGAAATTATTTTGTGTTTCTAAAGTGTATCAGCTATAAGCCATATGCGTGGGACTAGATAATGATTATTTGTTCTGTTTTGTTGTGTTTCTCTTGAAACTGTGGAAGGGTTTGGTAAATGGGGTGTTACTGCTCACATCTGAGCAGAGAAAAGGTGTATCCAAGTCTGCTTTGATCAAAAAATAACTTGTCATCTGTTTTTCTTAGTCCACTTTTTTGCCCTATAGAATTCGTTTGGGTATTTGATGTTTTTTTAAGTTTTGCACTAATGACACAAGTAAGAGTGATGTAGAAGAATGATCCAATATGTGACAGTTGAGAAATGAAGATGCAGATGAGTGAATTGTATAAGATGGACTTGTATTAAGTTTCTGTCGAGGAAAAACACTGCTTTTCCCTAAGTTGTTATCAAAATTGAAGAGTATTTTAGTGTCCAGGTATTAATTTATGAATATTCTGGGGGCTCTAAGGGGTCTGCCTAGAGAATGCATCATCTGTGTTCCTAGGAGTAAGTAGGGTATTCTGTAATGATAGTGTTCTGGCCGATTTCAGAGCAATGTTAGAGTAATGACTTAAAAATTGCCTTACACATTTTGTTTAACCTCCTTTACTTTCTAGAAAATAGGAACTAATAAAATTCAATATTTAGACACACTGGTGTACAGTTTGTCACCTTTTAGTGATTTGAACAGTGATTTAAAATGGCACTTCCTTCTTCCTAACAAGTGCGGAACCTTTGAGTGGGATATAGGCATGTGTGAGATAACTGCTTTATTCTTCATTTGTCAGTTCCTGTAAGGTGTGTGTGGGGAGAGAACTCCAGCAATACTTTCAGTCATTTTAATCTGTGAATTGCTGTGTATTCTTCATACCAAAACACCAGGTTCCCTCTGAAAATACTACATCTGTGTAACTGTATGAACTATCCAGGTTTTTGCAAACCTAATATGTCAGTATAAAGACAGTTGTTATTCTGAAACATACTTATTAAGACAGCTGTAAGAGGACGTGATTCAACATATTCTTAGAGTGTATCTAAAGGGAGCTTTTAGATATAGGTATTAATTTAATTATATTTGTGAAATGTCGGAATAGAACAAAGAATGATGTGATACCAAGTCCTGTCTTCGGTCAACAGAATAGTATCTGCAGTCAGATTATGGCTCTCGCATCACAACAGGTTTCTTTGGATTATGTTAGTAAAATTCCCATGATTGCAGTGTGTGCTTATGCACAGTTTCAAGAAGAACAATATCTGGACCTTTTTTATGTATTAGGAAACAGAAATCCTCATGAACAGCTGCTGACAGTTTGGGGGTGCTCAGCTGAGAAAGATGGAGAGGTGATTGTGCATATGCCTGCTGGTAGCATAATTTCACTTGAGTTCAATTCAAAGACATATCTAACTCTATAATCAAATAAGTCAAAGTAAAGGGATTTTTCGTATTCTTACGACTTTATTCATGCTCATTTAATTGTTTCATTAGGGCATGATCAGACAGCTGCAGCAGGAGCTTGCTGATGCTCTTAAAAAGCAGTCTATGTCAGAAGCTTCACTCGAAGTTACTACGCGCTACCGCAGTGACCTGGAGGAAGACAAGCTGCACTTGCAAAAGGAATTGGAAAAGGCTAAAACCAAGGTACATAATGTCTGTAGTTGTAGCAATAAATCTTATGGTGGCTGTTAAAAGTAGGATTGGATGTTGTCCTAAAACCCCAGGAAAAAATGAAACAGGATAGATTTAATGATGTGTGAATCAATTGCATTGTTTTATAAACTTAGTGTCTTTGACATGCGGACATTATGCCCTAACTTGGACAAAATGGTTTATTTGCGAAGGTCCTTTTCACAATGAATTTGTGTCTGCATTTTTGCCTTGTTACCTTTGGTTTTACCAAGGAGGTTGTCTAATTTCTGAATAACAATAGAAGTATTGGACTGCTGTGTTTGGACATTTTTATGCTACTCCTTTCCCCCTGCCCCCACTCCCCCACCCTGCCCTGTCACCAGGTAACATGTCAAATTCTGAATGCTTTTGTAACTTACTCTGCATTTTCCCCCTTTGGCCCTGCTATAATTTGCCATCCTTAAGTGGCTTTCCTGCAAGGAAAGTATAAGCTATTTCTTAGTTAGGAACCACCTTTCACAGTGTTTTTCCAGGGTATGGGTGTATGAAGGTCTTGGAGTTCTAAAAGGAAAGTAACTTAAAATCTAGTCCTTATGAGGGACTTCTGAAGTCACTACAGACAGATGAATGTCTTAATTCATGTTTTCATAGAGGAGCAAACAAGTGAATACAAAGAGCATTCTAAGTCACTAAAAGAGTCAGAGCAGCAGTGTCAGTGCTTAGAACTGTGCTCTAGGAAATCCATGGAGGGATGGGAGAGGCCACAGTAGAAGATTAGGAAGTAACACAACTTGTGTTCATTTGCTAGTAGAAGCTTTGAAAGTACTTGAGATGATTACAGTTCTTTGGGCAGAGGGCAGATAACTGCAGCATGTGTATCCTTGGGCAGCAGCTGACTGTCCTGTATAAAAGCTCGCCTGACAACTGTGGATCCTTTCTGTGACGTTACAGTTGCGGGAGGTGGAAGAAAAGTATCTTCAGTCTGAGCATTGTGTTCGTGACTTGAAGAATGCCTTGGATGGTAAGGAAAGAGAAGCAACAGCTTCTGCCCAGAAACTGCAGGACCAGCTGTTGGCATCTTCTGAGACTAGCACTACTATAAAACAACTGGAAGAACACGTGCAACAGTAAGAGAACACAGTGGGGTGAGGTATCTGTCACTTCCAGGTTTGGCTGGACACCACAGCATAGATAGGTAGCCTTGTTGCATCACAGAAAATTATTAAGATTTTGAAAGATGTTCTTTTTTTATTTTGCACTGTTCTTTTAGAATTGGTGCTCTGGCAGATTTTTATAATAATAATAATAAGATAATAAGACCTGTATTTCTTTTTAAGCCTTGAAATTGAAAACACCAGATTGGAAGCCACTGTCCAGCAACAAAGCGACAGGATTGAAGCCCTGCAGAGAGACCTGCAAGCCTCTGCCTCAGTAAGCTGCACACAAATTTCCATTTTGTTGACTCCTGAGCCTAGTTACCTATTTCTGTGGGGAAATTTTGTGGTGAGGTTTTCCTGGAGAGCCAAGGGAAGCTCAGTGCCTGCATTTTTCTGAATAGAGGCTCTCGGGAAGCAGCTTGCTCTACTTTCCAACCATCCTGTTTTGAAAATTTTCCTGTGCTGTAACAAGTCAAACATAACACTCTAAAAGGTAAGGATTTGACAGCAATACACTGGTATAACTTCATAACATCAGATGCTGCTTTGGGGACTGCAATGTATTCCGTTTAAGGTATTCATCAAGTTAACTGGTAGAAATTCCACAGGATGTATTGATGCCAAGCCCTTTATGCTAGAGACATGGCTGACATCATCAGACTGAAACAAAAAATTACTTGTCCCAGAGCTTTTGCTGTGCAGAATTGCTTTTTCTTTGGCTACTTGCTGTGTGTCTATTTTCATGAAACAGTGAAGAGGACTGCTTGTGACATCTGCAAAACTCAGTGTGAGCCTTGGAATGTACCACGGCTTCTACACAGTGGGTAATTTTAGCTCAAATAAGGTGCTAACATGTGTGGCCTGAATTAAGATATATTTTTGCTGTTGCTTTTTGTATTGTAGCCACTGAACTAGGATTCTTGTTACAGCTGTAATTGTCAGTTATTGCTGAACGTATTTTGAAAATCACTACATGTGATAGTCAAACTTTGTGATGTACTGATATTGTCAAGAGAAGTGGGAAGGCAGTCACAAATCCTTCCACTTTGATTAACAGGGCATGATTTTCAAGTGTACTAGGGATGAGAAAAGCTACTCCTGCCTGTTTTCACTGAAGATTCTTTATATCCCACATGGTTTTTCTCTCTCTCTCTCTCTCTCTGCACCAAATGGCAGAGGTGAGGATTGCTAACAATTTTGCAGTGGTGTGAAACTAAGGCCATTTTGATCATTGCTGCTGGGTGTAAATTATGTAGGAATAAAGAGGTGAAGAAGTTTTGTGTAGTACTTTTGTCAGTGAGGTGTAACTTCAATCTAAAAAGTGATAGTGTACCTTCTTGCTTCTTGTAATGCTTCTATAGGTTCACAGCCGCCTGGAAGACTTGATAATGAGCTTACAGACAGCACAGGCAGCTGCAGAGGACCACCACAATCAGGTACATGACAGGCTCTGTGAACAATGTTTTAGTCTTTGAATTTTTTGTGTATAGGTAATTGATGAAAAGATCATGTGGACTGTGTAAGCACACAGCTGTTAAATATCCATCTGGTTTTAGGGCAAGGCACTCTCAAGGGAAAAGGCTATAAGTTTCCTCATTTTTCTACTTCTGTGTTTTGTATGTGTTGTGGTGTGCAAGACAGTTGTGTTCATCATTGTGATTCTTCTGATGAATACTCTTCCCTATCCCACCTGCAGGGAGTGAGCCAGTGGCTGTGAAATGCTTAGCTGCCTACCAGGGTTAAGCCATAGCAGATGACTGATAGAGTGGATGTTGTGGACAGCATGGAGATCTGTGGTTGAAAGCTGAGAGGAGAGCAGACTTTACAGATCCATATTTTCTGTGTAATTTTGTGAGAGCTTGTCTTGAGGCCATGTCCAGGTTTTTTTGTGAGACCCAGTGTTTTACCTCCTCTATGAGGACTTGAGAAAGTCATACACCCTAAGGTTGTTTTTTTTTACCCGAGACTCTGTGTTAAGTGTTTTGTCACTTTCTGTAGCCATCTCTTGTTTCTTTCCTTTCTTGCTTTTGTAATTTTCTATGTTTTTCCCCTTAAAAAAAGCCACTAAAAGCATCTAGTCAGCTTCCAGTCTTTATACTTGAACTGAATCAGCAAGTTGTGTTCAACTCAAATGCATCTTACATCTCTTAGGCAAATCTTTGTCCCTTTAGATAGAACCATCAATACCATTGTCAATTTCAAAACATTTTCTTGCTCTCAGGTGATATACAGCTGTCACAGAAGCCATGACAGTAGGGTATATTCTGTGGTGGGCACTAGAAATGAATACATTAGAAAGTATGTAATGAACTCTGGAGAGCCTTTGGAAGAAAGCTACAGGGTGATTTGTGTGTGTGTGTTTGTTATTCCCCAAAGTTCAGCCTCATCTAACCACCCCTATAGCATTCATTCTTTTTACCATCCTCAGTTTGTCTTCTTGGTTATGTATCCCAAGCTGTGTTTTACATTGCACATTAACAGTAACCATAGATATTGGATGGGGAGAGGAGAGAGTTTCCACTTAAGTTACAGCTTTCTGTTCCAGTGTTTTCTTTACGGTCACCTTAGTTTCTTCATCTGCCATTGTTGCTTTTACAGGTGCAAAAGCAGAATGTGCTGGCTCTGACATCAAAGGACTTGCAGAGCATGTGGGAAGAGCAGTTTAAGTCAAGATCTAACCTTGAAGAGCGTGTTGCTCAACTTGACAGGGAAAAGGCAGACCTTTTTGAACAGGTAAATTTAGAACATTCTCCAGAGACTTAAGCCAGTACCTGAGAGAGCCACATTAACCTTTTGGTCAAGTTTTTAGATAAGGAGCATTTTTTCATTACCCCTGCCATTCAGGGTCTGGATATGTTGTGATTTGTGGATCATCCAGGAAGCAAATGAAAGCTATCTGGGTATCTCGTGTAAGTTCTGGAGTGATTGTCTTTGAAAGAGTTCCCAGTATTGTTTGCATCAGTTGAGCACATCAAGCAGGGCTTCAGTTCCCCAGGTCTTTCTTGGATTCCTTCTGGCCATCTTTTGACCCCTTGTTTTCTGGGCAGGGTTGAAGTATTTCATTTTTTCCAGTGCAGTGCAGGGAGGAGTAGCAGCACATTTTCAGGGTTTTGGATGCTTAAAAGCTTTGCAGAAAAACACAGTTGAAGGAATTTTGGGGAAATGAACCTAGTGCTTGGGAAACCAGAAATGACTGACAGTTGCAATGAGGCAGTCTTTCCCACTTTGTCTGTAGAGGAATAAAGGAAGTGCGAAGCAACTAGCACATAAGTAGCCACAAAGAAGGGGTGGAAGGGAGTAGTATATTGAAAAAATTCCCAAAGATCAAATTCCTCTGCCTGCTTATCAATAAGGATCCTGTAAAAGCTTTAGATTAATTTGTATTCTCTCATAATAAGCATACCTAAAAAATCGTTACTATGAGTTGAGGACTCTTGAAAGCAGTCCAGCATCTTCTCCATCTTTGTTTCAGTGGAGGTATCTGGTTTTGTTCTTCAATATTGGCCCAGTTTGCTCTGAAACCTAACATGTAACTTGGCTAATGGAGGTGGATTGCAGCTTCTCCCTGGAGAACACTAGAGACACATTGCACGTAGCTATTGTTCTTATGTGTCGTGTGTGTCATGTGTCTTTTCTGTTTTGAAAGTGTGAGAGTGAAAGAAAGAAAGTGAAGAAACTGATAGAGTTAAAACGCCCAGTTGAACTCCGTCTGGACCAAGAAATGAGACGAAACTTAGAATTGCAGAAAGACTTCAAGAGGTATGGCTTTTTCATATGGTGAAGAGATATCCCTGAATAGAAGTCCAGTTTTATTGAACTGTAATGTCAGAACAAGTATACATACTCTGCGAGCAAGCTGAAGTCTTGTGTTAGTTCCTGCAAGGTACCTCTGTGCATGAGCTTATACTTAATTATAGCTGCAAGAGGAATTGCCAGTCCAGGTTGCCCTGCAGTTCTGTGGGGGTGCGGAAGGTAGTCTTTAATTCGTCTTTTCACCTGGAATTTGGATGTGCCAGGTGATTTGTGGCACAGGAAGAGCAGGGTTTTATCTTCAATTCCTGGTACTTTCAAGTATGTTAAAGATGAAGAAAGCTATTTCTGCATACCTTACTGGAGAGCATATGGAAAAGGTTGCTTATTCCTGTGTTTCATTGTTTTCTGAACTGATTTGCTGTTTAGATTGAAGAGACTTCTCAACAGAGCTACAAAGAAAATAAAGGTGTATGAGGAGAGAGAAATGGAGTCACAGCTTAATTTGAAGGGAGAAATGAAGAGCAGATATTCTGAAATGGTCAGTGAAGTTGATAGATTGAGAACAAAGGTGAGCTCTGCTTAATTTGGGTTTTGTTTGGTTGTGGTTTTACTTCTTTTCAAACCTGTGTGAAGCTTTGCTTGTATTTCTTGTCATGTTGATGATTTGTTTTCCTTGGCTATATTTTTGATTTAATTTGTCTCTCTCAACGGTTTTTCTACTGTTAGAGAAGCAGGTCACTTTAGTAATACTGGTGTAGTTGTCCTTATGGGTAAAGATGTATGTGCAAAGCAGCATCTGCAATGGCACCAGAAGGGCAGACTGTCATGCAGAGGAAGGACAAGCCAAGAGTGGCAGCAAGGCTGGCAGGGTCCATGACCTCATGGTGCATGGAGCCATCCCACAGGTGCTCACCAAGAAGAACAGAACTGGTCTGGTGACAGCAGGCAGGGTCAGCCAAGAGAGCAGATCCAGCAGGTTCTCAGGGCAGGTCCTAGGGATGGGCAGTTCTGCTGTCCTACCAGGACATCACGTCCATGACTGAGGGTCAGGGCTGAGTATACAGATGATAAATACAGTCTCCATGGACAACCCCTTTAGTGATTTTAACAGAATTCACTGCCTTTAAATGTCTCTAAGTTTCTTTTTTTTTTTTTCCCACATACAGGTTGCTGAACTTTCCCAGCAGCTAGACGTAGAGTCTAAAAAAAGCATGCAGCTAGAAGCCCAAAACCGGGAATTGCGAGAAGAGCTATCTACCCTGCATGGGAACTGTGAAAAACTGGAGAAGAGCAAATGCCAGCTGAAAGAAGAAGTGGCAAAACTCCAACATCACTTGGAGACTAACACGGTGGATCACAGCCAAATAGAACAGTATAAAAGAGAGGTTGATGAACGAGCAGGGCAAGAAATAAGACAAAAACTACAAGAAGTCAATTTGTTTTTGCAAGTGAGTGACTTTCTGACACGTGTCTCTAAGCACTCTGTAGACTTTGGTTGTGGTCACCATTTTTTAGTGTTTTGATTTGGGTGGCTGATTCTGTGTGTTAGTGTTGCACTTGTGTGTGTGTGTTAGTGTCTTTGCCAAAGGAAAGTGGGAGATGGGCATATGGCTGGGCAGGAGTGCTCTTAGGATGTGTAATGTGCCGGCAGGTCCCTGAATCAAAAGCTTGCCCAAGGCAGGTTTCCATTTTGCAGTGCTTGGAGCTGTCTTTGTTCATTGGTTGGCTTCTCACTGTTCATGCTTGAAGAGGTGTTGCACCTTCCAGCTGTCACAGCCAGAACTTTGTTCACTGGTCAGCTTCTCACTGTTCATGCTTGAAGAGGTGTTGCATCTTCCAGCTGTCACAGCCAGACCTACAGGTCCAGTTTTGTCCTTGTACACAGGAGAGTGCTCAGAAAACAAGTGGCTGAAGTTGCAGGTGTGGAGATGGGGAGGAGGTGAGGCATCCTGCTAAGGTCTTTGAGGAATCCTGTTCTCCATGCCCTGTTTTATAGAAATAATGTCCTTTCATTAGTAGATTTGAATAGTGGTACTGGTTTGGGCTTCATCCTCAGTGATAAGAATTATTTACCCTGGTGGTAGCTTCAGGGTTCTGCCTTGACTGCTGATGGTAGTGAAGAGGCACAGCTGCCTCTGTGAGCCAGGCTGGGCCCATGACCTTGGGTACATGCAATTGACAGGTGGGGAGAGTTCTCTTTTTCTGTGTGGTGGTTGAAGGTGCACTGTCTCCTTCAGGCACAGGCAGCCTCCCAGGACAGACTAGAACACATCAGAGCAAGTCATCATGCTTCTCTGAGAAACCAGCTAAAAGACAGAATCAGAGATCTTGAATGTGAATTGGACAAGATAAAAAATACTCAACAAGACAGTACTTTTCCAAAAGAATGTATACAGGCAGAAGTGGAAAAGTACAAGGAGCTGTATCTGGAGGAAGTGAAAACAAGACGATGCCTAGCAAAGAAACTGGAAAGGTAAGTCCATGCTTTTTTTGGACTGGTAATAAGAGACTCCTTTTTCTTCATGCACATTTCTTGTTAATTCCTCTTCTACACCTGGCCAGCATTGAAAGCCTATGATGACATGTTTGTGGGAAAAGTACCTCAAGACCCTTCCCATTTAGCAGGCCTTCATTTCTCTTTAGTGTTTCAACAGGAATACAACTGATCGTGGCATTAACGGGAGGCTTTTCTAGTTGATGTTGTTTTAAGTGGCAGCTTTTTTTGCCAGGGTCTGTAGTCTCACCCTCTATACAACAGAAAAAAATGAATTTCATGTCCTTTATTGTCTGAATAAGGGTAAGCCTCTCAGGGAACAGATTTCTCTTCTGTGAAGAAAAAATAGAAATAATCTTTTTTGGCTTCTATTCAAGCAGTGGCTCTGAGCTTTGAGCTTTCCTTGGGAAGGGTATCCAGCCCAGAGTTGTTACAGAGGTGATGTACCTTCCAGAAGAAGCTGTGTAAACACATGGCTTTCACAGAAGGCTTTGAAGCCCTCATGCACTCCTAAGCACTAGTGATGCTGCTCCTTGCACCTAGTGCGACATCTTAGAAACAGGCCCACCAAATAAGTCAGGTCAAATGATGAACTACTTTTGGAGGTTCTTCATCTCAGAAGTGAAATAATAGTCAAGGACCTGGAGAGTAACTTTGGGAAAGTGTTGCTAACAAAGTAGAAACCAAAGGTAACTGTCTGTGTGCTTCCAAATGTTTCAGAGCTAATGAGAGACTTGAAGAAGCCAATGCTAAGCTCCTCCGGGAGCGCCATAAAAGCAAATCATTAATCACGAGCAGCATTGTCAGCGGAGGTCTGGCTGCAACTCCAGTTCTGTATTCAACTGCACTCGGACATCTTGGCAACAATTTGGGACTGAGCAGAAGTCTCAGTCTAGGAGGAAGCTTCCTCACCCCAGCTGAGAACACATTATCCTCGAGAAACAGGGTTGCAGCCTTTGTGGCCAAGGTAAGCATTTTGAAATACCATTCTCGACTCCTGCTGAAGAGTAGCCATATGCAAGGTTCTCCCTTTTAGCCTGAAATTAGAATCCATTTATTGTTCCATGCCATATTGTGTAATAGACCAAAGCAACTGCTAATCCTCAGAACAGTGCACAGTTGTACGTTGTAAGGCTGAAGATTTTTGGTCATCAGAGTTGTAAAAATTTTCAGGAGGGTAAAGGCTATAAAATATTTAAGTCAAAGCAGTGAACTGGCCATGACATTGTTTTACAAGAGAAACTGTGACAAGGAGTACTGTAGCATAGGGAGCTCCCAGCTAAGCTCATCATGAAATTCCAGTGTGTGGTATGGCTAACCCGTTTAAAGCGGCTAACGTCACATTGAGTGATAAATCCAATCAGACATCTCTGAGACACTTTTTTCTTCTTCCTTGATCTTCACTGCAGCAATTTCTTCACAGAACTTGCATTAGTATGTTAATACCAACAAAAGGATGCTTCAAAAGTAGGATGATATGAATGGGATGGCATAACTTTGCTCTTAAACTTCACTGCAGAATACATACTATGCATAGGAGACATTTGTTCTTGTAGTTCCTGCCATGTTATTTCATGAAATGGTAAAATTACCTACTCTGTGGCAAGTCTTCAGAGCTTTCTCATTTTATAGCAATGCTGCAACCTCTGCAATGCCTCTGGTCCAAATATGCCCTGTAATTAGCAGTCACTGTGATAGCACATCCCTCACAGAAGGCTGAATATTATGCCATGAAAAACCCACACCAATAGTTGTAATCACTGAGAGATCGACTTAACATGGCCGAGCTTCTCTGTTGAGGCATGGTATTCTGTTGTCAAGGGAATGTGACAAGTATTTCTTCACTTTTAAGTCCTTCTCAGTTTGATGGTCTCCCCTCATTGGAAAGAACCCATTTAAACCATGTGTCTACATAGAGCACCTGTTCTACAAAAACCAGCCAAGAGAACAGATGGGACCAAAGCAGCATTGGAAATGCATAGCTATGGCAGTTACGGAGATGAGCTTCTCTGTGTAGCTGTGAACACACTTTTGAGGGCAGAGGTGGACAGACATTACTGGAAGAACTCATGAAGTCGTTAGTACTGTATCATCTGCAGGGGCTATTCTGCATACAAGCACTAGAAGGGTAGGAAAATTGCAGGACCCACTGTGAAAGGGAAATAAAAGAGGGGAGAGCAGGAGGGGTAGGGAGCACAGAACAAGAGAGGGAAAAAAAGGACAGAGAGATGGGAGCAAGACATTAAAAAAAGGCAAAAGAGGAAACCATTCCTCTGCTAGGCAAAAAATGCTGCCCTAGGATACAAGGAAGAGTTTAACAGTTGTAGCTTTTTTGGAGAAAAATGATAAAAACGGACAGTGAAGGGAAAGAAAGTCGGAGTACTAGGTGCTTCTTAAAACTCAATTACAGCAATGGTTTTCAGGTAGTGCTTTTCATTTTCATGTTCCAGAAGACATTGGAACTCTCTGAGAATCTCAAAGTTTTGTCAGTATCAAGATAGACACATTGATGTGTTTGCTCCCTTCCCCTAAGTAGGGAAGTTTAATTACAGAAATTAAATATTTCTCCAGGCTGTTTCTTAGCTTGTTGTTTTATACAGCTGCTAATAAATACAGATGTATAGTTCAAACTGCTGTGTAGACCTCTTCAGTGTTTTTTGAAAAATGCTTCCAAATCCACTTGTGAAGAACATTTGAGCTGATTCCAAGACAAGTCTGCATTAGACCTGAGAATGGTGATACTGTTCTCTCTCGGTGTCCTGACTTCAAGAGCACCCATAGAGTTTCTTTCCAGAGAATGTGTGTCTCACAGCTTTGAGCGTACTCTCAAGGAAGTTGTTGAACAATTATGTATAGCATTTTCCAAGTTTCAGTTACAGATGTCCAGTATTTTCTTCTTAACTTGGGGGCTTTCTTCTATACTAAGATTTTTTTCTTCCTAGTGCAGTTTTGTTGGTAGGACTTTGAAGTTCTCTCTGCTCTTGACCACAACCTATGGTTGTTGTCAGCAGAGGAGCTGCAGATAATTCACTCTCACTATACACAGTTTGTCTTCTTAGGATTCCCTTTGAGCTCTAATGCTGTATCAAATTCTGAAGTTTTATTCCTTGAATAAGGGTGAGTCAAAAAACTGCTATACCACAGAAAACTTACCTATTTCTTACCATTTCAACCAGGTTCTTTTAAGAGAAAGATAGAAATCTCAGCATGCCAGATTTCTCTCAATAAAAGCAGAAGGCTGGTGTCTGGGACTCAGATTTCCTGCTGTGAATTTATCTGCCTTCATACTAAATTGAGCTGCACATTCTGTTGTGATAAGTCTTCCTGAAATCACCGATTAGGGAACTACTGAGACAGTCATGGCACCACCTGTAGCCTCAAGTACCTCAATGTTCATTGTGTTCAGCAAAGTCTTAAAACCTGGTCTTCCCTCTCTGAGTCATAAACAGGAAGTACTGTTAGTGATCTGTGTAACCAGAATTCGGAAATGTAGTGCATAGCCCAAGGCAGAGAATGTCTGTCTACTTGCTGCAAGTATTGCAAGAAGATTTTGGGACTCAAGGCCACTTGTTAGACTGTCAAACTGTCAAGCTTCCATCCTAACAGCTGTGCCAAAGGCTGCTGCAAATGAATATGGGTGTTCTGATGCAGAAAAGAATAGTGAACTCTGCTAGCTGCAACCAGTGTGAATTGGTGGATTTCTGAAACCAGTTTCCCTACATAATGTGAGAAAGGGAATGTCAGCTCCCTACGCTCTCTCTCAACTTCTGTTCCTTTTCTGGTTTCATTTTCCAAATGCCTTCTTGTATTTTAGTGATCTTCTTATTGTGAGCTTTTTTCCTTGCCTCGTGTACATGTAGGCCTTGTTCTTGTGTCTCACTGAAGACCTTTGAACTAAAGGCTGTTTTTCTTTCTTCAGATCCTTAATCAAAAATCTTCTCTCTTTTCTCTTCAGCCAGATATATGACAAGGTTTGTAGCCTGTCCTGTTTAACCTTGGGTGCTATTGCAGATGTTTGTCTATTTATGCTGCTAGGTTTGATTCAAACTTACTGATGCATTCACACTGGCCTAAAGCTGGAGACACTTTGAAGCTGCTGGTTTCTCTTGAGTAAAAGAGTGACTTGCTGCTGAGTAGTTCTGTGCTTTATGTCTTTGTGAAGTTATGGCTTTGTGGTAGTTCAGCTTCTGTAAGGTGGCACCATATGTATGGATTTCACCTCTTCTGATGGAACTTGGTTAAACTAGAGGAGAAGGCTCTTTACCGCCCTTGCCTGTTCTGACAGTCAAAAAGTCCTGGGTAGCAACAGCAGTTGTGTGTGCAGCAGCAGTGCTGCTCTGAAGTTGAGTTCCTAGACCCTGAGTACCATCTCATGGGTCTTGGAGGATCCAGCTTACTCTGTGCTCAAGAAGCTCCATGGGTAAGTAGTAAGTCAACATCACCTCCTGAAACAGAGTTACTGAGATGGTGACTGCTGCAAGTGACCCAGTATGTTACTGCTTGAAGAGCTGAGCAGTGAGAGGTACCTGCTCAGGACACAGACACCGACTTGAGGACTAGTGGAATTTAGTATAATGTAAAACTGCAGTGAATTCTGGAAGGATATGCTAAGCTAAGCAAAGCACATAATCATTAGCAGAGAATTATAAAGGACAAGCTAAGCAATGCACCTAATGATTACTAGGAAATAATGCCTGTAGGGGTAAAGAAAGATACATCACCAGTTACTCCAGTACTTTGCCATAATCCAAGTCTGAGACACCTCAGCTGTCAGGGAAAGGTGTCACAGTGAAAGACTGGAGAACCAAGGTAACTGGGAGCGCCTGTGGCGCATCCACCTTGCAGGCCACCAGGCTCCCCCAGCTTTGCTGTGATAATAGCCCAGCTTTTATACTGTTAAACAAACAAGCTGACATAATGTGTAATTTCATTCACCTGTTGGCTTTCTCCCAGAGCCTGGCCTGGGCTCAAGGAGGAATCAAGGGAGTTGTCTTTGATCCTACACCCGCTTGGTTAACAAAATGTGTTGCTTCCTCTTGCCCAGCTTGTCCCTTGTTAGGTGTCTTTGGAAATTTTCAAGTCTTGTTCAGATTTGCAGACTCTATAAAGTTACGTAAAATCTTCTTACAGTGCCTTATTTCCCACTGTCTGATGTAGAAGTAACATAAGGAATCTTGTGTCATTTCCCCTCAGCCACTGCTGAACTCGAAACTGGATGTGCTGGATCTTCCAAAAACCTTCATGTGGACCAGGACCCCCTTTGCAGAGCAATAGAGGAGTACCGTGATGTTTTAACCAAAAATTACATGATTTGAATGAAATGCTGTGGAAAGACTCTGAACATTTTTTGCTTTTGTAGAAAGCACATCTATGGTTTCCCTCTCCCCAGTTCAAATGTAAAAAGTTGTTCATTGCAGTCTGAATATAAACTCTACTAAACAGATGAGTGCACAGTGCACTCATCTGTTGGGTTTTTTCTGTATAACTGGCTTCTTTTGCACTCACAGTAAGAACCACATCTGTTTCTTCTGACCAGCAGATTGACTGATCTGGGTTCTTGAGCTTGACAAAACTGTCAGAAATGTTTCCTCTTATAGTAGCTTCATTATGTTGCATTATTTGTGTTCTAACAAAAGCATTCCCTTTGTTCTGTTTAATCCTTTCACTCAATGTGTTTGTAAGTTCTCCAGTGTTATTTCAATGTTTAGGACATCATTTGATGTTCTTTGAGCCCAATGCTTCAATCCTGATGCAGTACTAAGTTCTGCTAATTAACTTAGAGTGGTGTTCAAGCTGGAGAAAAGGGCACTTTGCATTGTTGTCACTTTATGCAACGTAAGTTTAAAATGACTGTGACTGTGTAGTAGTGCCAAGACTTGTTTTATGGGCTTTTTGGTATTTTTATTTTGTATCACAGAATGAGTGAAGTTGGAAGGGACTTCTGGAGGCTATTTGTTCTACCCCTCCTCCTCCAGGAGGACCACCTTTAGTTAGTTTCCCAGATGCGTGTTGGGTTTTTAATTACTTTAAAAAATGGAGACTCCAAAGCCTCCATAGGCAACCTGGCCTCATGGTCAGTCACTGTCACAATACACTTGAATATCATGAGGGATATTTAAACTCAGTACCTCTCATGGTATTGGTGTTGATTTCTGTATTAAAAATTGCTGCAGCTTCAGACTTTTGCAGCTCTTGCTTAAACACTTACGGTACACCTGAAAACACCTTCAGTGGGAGGGGTAGAAAAGGAACATTAATATCATCAACACTCCTCAGTACTCTCCAGAACTTGTGTGATAGGATACTCAGGTTTTTTGTTTCTGCTAGCAGCTGATGATATGGTGTCTGTAGCACAAATGTGGTGGAAAATTGATAGCAACCATATAAGCAGTTTTACTTATTTCAGGAAGTTACCAGTTTTTAATTAGGATGTGTGTTGTCATTTCCCATCTGCAAAAGTCACCAGCAGAGTATAGAACCAAGTCCCAGTTCTGGAAAAGTAAGAATAATTGTACTGAGAGTAATCAAAACTGAAATAATTTTAGGGTTCTACCCACTATTTTAAGGACTTAACAGATAGTGAGAAAAGCATTAAATGCTGCTGTAACACTCTTCCTTTTTATATGAATACATTTTTGTGAGGCTATGACACTGTATTTAATTTAACTTGATATTTAATAAACTTTGCAGTCTAGAACATGGCTTTGTTTTATTGTTCCTCTTCTTGACAGTGCTTTCCACCCCTTCCCTGCTCATAGAACTCTCCAGTGCTCTCAGCTGCACCTTGCCTGTTCTCCTGTAAGAGACTGGCCTGCTACAGATGAATGATTCAAACACTCAACCATTTGCAGTAACTGCCCAGGTGCTGCAAGAGCCTGGACTGGCTCAAACAGTCAGCTGGGTGCCTGGCCAGTGATGCACAGAGTGGCCTCCCAGTGCAGGTGGGTGTGCACACCTGAGGCTACAAACTGGGGTTCCAGATAAGGGACGGGGCTGGTAAGAGGCAAATCCTTCAAAGTGGGATAGTCCTTCTTACCATGCCAATATCTTCATTTACATGGCTCAGCTGTGAGAACTCCCTTCTGAAGTACCATAGGATGAAGGTATTTATCTCGGCTGATGCGCCATGATTAATTGAGCTATAATGGGTAAGAGATAGATGCAACACCTTAGAAGACGGTCAGTGACTTATGGAATGCCCCGTGATCCAGTACTGCATCATCCAGGGGAATTACAGGGGCCTTTCCACCTAGCCTCAGCTAATATAAACCCCATGGACCTGGTGTTTTGTGGGCTCTGTCCTCCCCACTTGATGGATTCAGTCTGCAACCACCAACAAGACAGAAGAACCAACTGTCATGGGAGCTGTCATTGGAGCCTATGGGGTGGTGATACTTCTGATGTTTATTCTGTTTCTCAGTCTCTTTTTCTCCCTTCTCTCCCTCTCCTCCACTTGTCTTTTTCCTATCTCTCTCTACCTCACATTTACTGATAAATAAAAATTGAGACTAATGCCGTTGGCATATGGTCTCTCTTGCACCTTTAGTTGGGCAGACACTTGTCTCTAATAATTTTAATAACCAGTCAGATCTTAACAGCTAGAGAGAGGCCAGGCAAATGTGTCCTGTAGAAGAAGCTTTGTCATCTTAGAAGTTTCTCGCTTCATTAAATTACTAAGGCTCAGGTAGCCCATGGCAGAGAGCATGGGATCTTCAGTACTTTCATAACAAATGCTCTGCTGCTTAAAGACCCAAGATGATGGAGGGCATTGCTCAGGCATTCCTGTGTGTTGAAGAGTGGCATTAACAGTAGGGTATCCTGGTAATTCCCTTTTAGCTGAGGGCCATTTTGCTGCCATCTGCACTTTGGTTCTGAAACTCAGAAAAAGCATAATTAGAACCAAACTCAAAACTATTGACACATACAGCGTAGTTATAAAACACTATACATGTCTTGTGCATAAATGAAATGGATACATACAAACATATTAATGTTTGCCTTTCTTACTCCTTTCTGCATTGGCTGGACTTCCATAAAATGGTGAAATCAGAAGTTGCCGCATAAAGCTCAAAATTACTTCATGGATGTTATAAATGATGCAAGTTAAACTAGTCTCTAGACAAATCAGGAAGCTGTCCCCTTCAGCCACATAATGATCATCACTTAACAATCGATAACAATCGCTCTGTTCCATTTCTTATCAGACTGTTTCCACTTGGATCCTGACAATTTTAATTGAATGTTAGCTGATGACTTTTCACAGAAGCTGTCTTGAAAATCAGAAGTGCAATTCCAGAGCAATCCTACCTTATTACAGTTACACAAAATAATCTTAAGTCTTTCTTTTCAAAGTCCTTGACCATTTGCACTTCCTAGATTTAAACTGCACTTACGCCTGACTCTTGTATCCAGGATGAGTTAGGACAAGCTGTAGAAGAAACACAGCAGAAAGCAAGAAGGCTGCTTCCGTTCAGCACTGATGAGCACACACGTTCATGGATTTTGCACTTGCACTTTAATCATGGAAATCATTCTGCACGCTCCTACTGCTAATGATCTGATTGTTAGGAGAAAGGCTGGCCCCAGTCCTCTTGACTGTTTACATCCTAATGTGCTGGTTTTTAAATCTGTTTCCAAACTGACTGAGGTTCTATTGTCTGATGTTTCCTCCACAGCATCACACATTTTCAATCAGCACCAGCTCCTTAGCCATAATCACTTCCTGCCTTGGCTTCTGTTCAGTCTTGTAACTCAGTGCAAAGCAGAACTGTATATTTGGTCTGTATGCATGAAATGGTACAGATGAGGTGGTATTTACATGGCAGCTGGCAATAAATGGTTTTATTAACTGGAAATGCTACAAACCAAATTTGAAGCTATTATAGATGGCTGGGGGTGGGGGCAGGGGTTAATGCAGAATGTTTTTTCTTGGTCTTTTGCATGCACACAGCTTTGAATAACAACCTGTCCCCTGTATCCAAGATCTCTACATCACACACAGGTTCACCAGTGTGAATGCTGCAGCCCCCAGCCATACATCACCAGCAGCTCTGGCCAATTTGCAGAAACATGGCAGCATTTATGTGCATACAGGTTTCCATCTGCATCATAAACAGCGCTGAAGTCTGAAAATTACACAAGTAAGAATTACAAAAAACTTAAGCATAAAACTACAAAGCAATAACCATAATTAAAAAGATTTTAGGATAGGACACTTCCATATAAAATTCCAGTGCCTTAAAATATTTCTGAGTAGAAAATGTTTTCTCACAATTTCTCAGTATTTCTTACGATTTATACAGATACAATAACTGTACCTGTGTTTAAGTGAATTTCACTACAATGACCACTGCTATAAAACCCAACTTTGCTCACATGCAACAGATTTCCATCCTAGTTATTTCTATTTTTTATGCATTGGAGTACTTCAGGTCCAACTTCTTCAATTTCTCCACTGAATAACTTCCACTCACATTTCTACACAAATCACTGTAATCATCACTGCTGCATTCAACACTAAAGATAAAATAAACCTAGAGTATAAAACAAGATGGCAGGAAAACCATTAAAGAGGTTTTAGCAGACAAAAGCAGTGCATGCACATGTGCTTGTCCTCTCTAAAGCAATGAAAGCCTTTCATCTAAAAGTGCAAGGAAAGAAGTTGAGTACTGAGTGAAATTTTTTGGCATCCGGTGGCACTGTTAGTGATGTAAGGCTGAACAGCAGCAGCACATTGTTCCAAGCAAGTTCCAGAGCTCCTGGAACGTGCTGCAACGCTCCAGGAAGGAACATTAACAAGTAGATAAGTCCTGCTTTTATGGCTAGTAAGCAGGTTTTGGCAAAAGTCTGAATGCTATTGTGTTTTCAGCTTTGCTTTTCACCTGCGTCAGTGGAGCTTTTTATTTTCTTCAGGGAAAATGCTACTGATGTAAGAAATATCACATTTCTGCCATTACTGTAAAAATTACAGAAAAAAAAGGCCCCTGAAAAGGATTCAGCAAAAATATAGCACTTTGAGAGAGACCATCAGGAACAGGATTTCCAGAACAAACACCTGGCTCTTTACTATCTTCTGTCATGTGTTTTTGACCTAGGTCTGGTATACACTTTCCCTCCCTCACCTCAATAATTATCTTGAACTTCTGGCACATCTGGGTTGTATGGTTATTTGTCCATGAATACCTGATACTTGAAGTTATAATGCCTTATTATTTAAGCAACAGAGAAGTTAAAACTAATTGATATGACACAATTTTTCTGGCTACTTCAAGTTCCACTTAATCCACGGAATTCCTTTCAGTATTCTTATCAATAAGCTGCAGTTCTCTCAATTGGAAAGCAGACATAAAAATCCATTAGTAAAAATTAGTAGGCTAGCATACACAGGTGTCACAAATGTACCACAGACCATATATAACTAGCAAACACAACCTTGGTGTTCTAACTGGCATAACTCACATTCAGTTTCCAAGTCTCTTCAACTGAGGCTTCTCCTTCTGGAGAAGTGCTGTTGTGGTCATTGTAATTTAATTCCTAAAGAGTAACAGCACGACTTACTATTTGTCATGTTAACAATGGAATAAATTAAATCTTTCATACCAATGCATGGAGAACACAACTCTGGTATTTAAGGATAATTTCTATATTAATCTCCAGAATAATATTCTCAGCAGAATGCAGCAGCATGCAGCAGAGGCTAATTGGTAGAATTATGTTGCCATGGGTACAAAACACCTATTCAGGCACACAGATCTGGTACATCTGCTACAAAAGTAGTATGGCAATGGCCATGAGATAAATACCATCAACCTGCACTTCATCTTCAGTTCTAGCACTGAGTGTTTGATGTGTATCTCAGCTGTTTACTTATAAAATGGATTGAAGAACAAACACCACCTCCAGGGCTAAGGACAACAGGCTATAGCTGATAGGAAAGGTCAAGTGGTACAGAAATTGTCTACTGTGGGATTACATCCTCAAAAGAGAATCCATGTTCTTTCAATCCAGTACAGCCAGTAACCTGCTTCCTGCTTGTAGGCCACGCAATATTTGAAGCACTTTGATTGCAAGCGTTCTTTCAATCCAGTACAGCCAGGAACCTGCTTGTAGGCCACGCAATATTTGAAGCACTTTGATTGCAAGTATGTGAAAGGGACAGGGAGGTCAATTTAATATGGATTGCAGTTAGAGAAATTGCCCTTGGAGCACAGAAGGTAGTTTCTGTGTTTCTTCATGCACACCAAATTTACTTAATCTCTTCAAAAACCAACTCATTCATTACACTGGAGGATTTTTCCACTACTAGTCAAGAGTTGTCCTTTCACTCCAAGATCTCTACTAACCAAACAAAAGGAGGAAGTGACCAGTCTATGACAATGCAGGAAATTTAATGGCATACGACAATTACCTCCAATTCAGCATTACTTCCTTTTGGCCTTAGTATTACCTTTCTCTGCCTCTCTTTTTTGTACAGTATGTTTATTACTCCGCAAGGACTCACTGGATTTTATTGAATATCACCTCTTATTTACTGAATATTTAATCTAGGCTCATTACAGAAAGACAGTTTCAGGAAAAAAGTATTCATGATCTCAGCAGGGCTCATGGGATCATGTACCCCATGGAACCAGCTGACAGTCATAAGGCACCAGCAATCAGAACTCTTAGGGAGCACCTTCAGATCCAGAGAG